CCGCCCGGCTCGCAGAGTGCTCCGAGTCCTCCGCGGCGCGGGCACCTTGCACACAGGAGGCACTTGATGCACACACAGTCGGAGCACACTCCTCACTTGCTAGAAGGAACCCAGTGTCCCTGGGTGCCCAGAGCAGCAGGGCCCCGCCAGCCTGTCAGCCCGTCCCGTCACTCACGCCCCGCCGCCCTGCAGGCCAGCTGCGGCCGAGGGATGGCGCTTTGTTTTCTTCTATTTACTTTGTGAGTAAGGGGTCTCGCCATGTATCCCAGGCTGTCCCGGGACTCCGCGTGTGGACCAGGCTGGCCTCAAACTCAGAGATCCCCCTGCCTCCGGCTCCCTGTCGAGGCGGCCGCAGGAGCAGTTGGGTGCCGGGTCCTGGCCAGCTTCCGGAAGCCGCAGCCAGAATTGCCAAGACGCCCGAGAGGACTTCGCAAACACCAACCTGTCTGTTCTCTCAAATCCGCAGCGTCACCGTGAGACGGAAGCAGCACTGGAACCCAGGCTCCGCCGCGCGGGGAAACCTGCGACTTGGTTTCGAGGGGAGGGACAGGGTCTCCTGTAGGCCGGGCTTGTAGCCCAGGCTGGCCCGGAGCTCGCTCTGTAGCCCAGGCCGGCCCGGAGCTCGCTCTGTAGCCCAGGCCGGCCCGGAGCTCGCTCTGTAGCCCAGGCCGGCCCGGAGCTCGCTCTGTAGCCCAGGCCGGCCCGGAGCTCGCTCTGTAGCCCAGGCCGGCCCGGAGCTCGCTCTGTGGCCCAGGCCGGCCCGGAGCTCGCTCTGTGGCCCAGGCCGGCCCGGAGCTCGCTCTGTGGCCCAGGCCGGCCCGGAGCTCGCTCTGCAGCCCAGGCTGGCCGGGAACTCAGAGATCCGCCTGCCTCTGCCTCCCAAGATTAAAGCTGTGGGATTTTAAATTCCATTAATGTGAGATCTCAGGTCAAAGTTCTAATACATCGAGCTTAGCCCAGGACCTTGGATTCTGGGTCCGAGTGTTCGGTTCTGGGATCACCAGGCACTGGCAGCGGCCGGAGTTTGAATGCGGCCTGCGTTCCACGCGTGGAATGGGGTTCCCCGTTTGAGTGTTCAGAAAGCGAGTCTGAGCTCAGAGGTGGGACAGGAGGAGGGAGCACCCGGTGGAGCACCCGGCCGTGCTCCCGCGTGGGGACAGCTGACGGCACTTCAGCTCCGGTCCCCGGCCGTGCTCCCGCGTGGGGACAGCTGACGGCACTTCAGCTCCGGTCCCCGGCCGTGCTCCCGCGTGGGGACAGCTGAAGTCAGCTCCGGTCCCCGGCCGTGCTCCCGCGTGGGGACAGCTGAAGTCAGCTCCGGTCCCCGGCCGTGCTCCCGCGTGGGGACAGCTGACGGCACTTCAGCTCCGGTCCAGCCCCGCTGCCCGCTGAGAAATGCTGAAGCTAGGTTGATTTACTCAATTTTTTTTTTTAAAGATTTATTTATTTATTATGTACACAGTGTTCTGTCTGCACGTATCCCTGCAGGCCAGAAGAGGGCGCCAGATCTCATTACAGATGGTTGTGAGCCACCACGTGGGTGCTGGGAATTGAACTCAGGACCTCTGGAAGAGCAGTCAGTGCTTTTAACCACTGAGCCATCTCTCCAGCCCTTTTTTGGGGGGGGGGGTGTTGGGGGGGTTGCAAAAAAAAAAACAGGAAACCTTTCCTAGACTCGGAGACTGAGGCGGCGGGTGGGGTGGGGGGTGTGGTGGGTGGCGGATTGGAAGTCAGCCTGTGCTACACAGTGAAAGCCTGCCTTAGGGAGAAAAAAGAACCTTTAAAAAAAAATCTGGGGGCTGGAGCGATGGCTCAGAGGTTAAGAACACCGACTGCACTTCCAGAGGTCCTGAGTTCAATTCCCAGCACCCGCACGGTGGCTCACAACCACCTGTAATGAGATCAGGTGCCCTCTGTGAGTTCGAGGCCAGCCTGGGCTACAGAGCAAGATCCAGGACAGCCAGGGCTGCACCGAGAAACCCTGTCTCGAAGAAAAACCAATAAGTAAATAGATAAATAGATAAATAGATAGACAGATAAATAAATAGATAAATAAGTAAATAAATGTGCACGTGTGTCTGTGCACCACGTGTGTGTGCACAGTATCCACAGGGGTCAGAAGAGGCTTCGCCCCCCGGAGCTGGAGTCACAGGCCATTGTTGGCCGCCTCTCCGGCACCTACTTTGTTTAATTTTTTTTTTTTTTTGGTTTTTCGAGACAGGGTTTCTCTGTGCAGTTTTGGAGCCTGTGCTGGATCTCGCTCTGTAGCCCAGGCTGGCCTGGAACTTAGAGAGATCCCCCTGCCTCTGCCTCCCGAGCGCTGGGATTAAATGCGTGCACCACCGCCGCCCTCCTTGTTTAATTTTTTAAAGATTTATTTTATTTTTAAGTATGGGGGGGGGGGGCGGGTGAGGGGTGTGCCCTGGATGGAGAAAGAGGCAGACAGGGCGGGCTGGAGAGACGTCTGTCTGTCCAGTGGTTAGCGCATCGGCTGCTCGCACACAGGACCTGGGTGGGGCGGCTGCAGTCACCCTTAAGCCCCGCTGAGCCTGGTGCCCCATACACATGGCCGTCCTGCTTCATGCCTGCTCCCGGGAACCCGCGCTGTCCCCAGCTCAGGGCGACCTCACAGCCCCCACCCCAGAGGAAGGACTTGTCCCCAACCCGGGGCTCTCCGCCTGCGCTCCGGGCAGCACCCCGAGCTGGGATCCCTCGGGAATCCGTGTCACCCACAGAGGGACGGACCTGTTTGTTTTGAGGCAGGGTCTCAGGTAGCCCAGGTTGGCCTGGCTGACCGTGAACTCCTGACCTCCCAGCTGTGGGGTGACAGGCAGGCGCCACCACACCTGATCGTTTATTCATTCGTTGATGAACTTATTGAAAACCCACTGTACGCCAATCCTGTCCTCAGGGCGCCTCATGACCCTATCCTCTGCCATTCCACCCTCACAAGAGGGCCGGCAACCCTCAGCCTCAACTCACAGGCCCTCCTGGCCGCCCGTCCCCAACCGACGCCTTTGGCCTTTCAGTTTTCTCCCACCCTCCATATTTTTGCGCCCTTTATTCTACCAGAAGGCCTTTTCATTTTGGACGGAGAAACTCCTACTCATCCGTCAATGCCCTAGCTCCCTTGGCCTCCTCCTCTGAATTAGCCTGCCCGGATTCCTGTCTACATCCCCCAGACAACCAGGGAGGAAACCATCTGCTAAGTGCCGGCTGCGGCAGACAGGGCTCCCATTCCAGATTCCAGGGTTTGGGGGTCCCACCCAGCAGCTCCCCATCTCTCAGTGCGGTCCAGGGCGGGGAGGTGAACTGACACCCGGACTGGGTAGGAGCCCCATGCCCCTGGCTGCCTCATTTTCCCGTCACTCCGAAGGGAGCGGCCGGGACGCTGGGTGGCTCCGTGGGGCGGGCGGGTCCCCGGTGGCCGCGGGGGGCTCAGGAAGCCGCGGCCACAGGAATTCGGCGCTTCCACGCCTTATAAGGACATTTGCTCCGCCAGCCAATGGGCGGCGGGGGCGGCGCTGGGCCCTGTCCCGGGCCGCCCGCCCGCCCCGCGCCCCGCGCCCCGCGCCGGTCCCTGGTCCGCCCGCCCCGCGCCGGTCCCTGGTCCGCCCGCCCCGCGCCGGTCGGTCCCGCGGTCCCCGCCATGAGTTCCACGCAGTTCAACAAGGGCCCGTCCTACGGGCTCTCGGCCGAGGTCCGGAACCGGGTGAGTGGGCGCGGGGCTCGGCCCTGACACCGGAGGGCCGGGGGGCGCCCCGGTAAGACGGCGGGCTCGGGGGCTCGGGGGTCCGGGAGAAGGGGACCCCGCTGCTCTGCACCCGGGGTGCCTCCTGCAGCCCCGCCCCCGGACATCCCGCACCCCGGGCCCCCGGGGGCGCTTCCTGCACCCCGAGCTCCTAGGAGGATGGAAGCAAGACCCTGGAGAAGGCGAGCGGGCGGGGTCCGGGAGGACCGACCCCTGCGCCCCGCGCCCCTGCGCCCCCGAGATCCCTGCGCCCCCGAGATCCCTGCGCCCCCGCGCTCCTGCCCCCTGCGCCCCCTGCACCCTGCGCCCTGCGCCCCGGGATCCCTGCGGCCCCGCGATCGCTGCGCCCCGCGACCCCCGCGATCCCTGCGCCCCGCGACCCCTGCGCCCCGAGATCCCTCCGCCCCCTGCGCCCCGCGACCCCCGCCACCCCGTCTGTAGTACCTGGCGACACTCCCCCCCCCCCCCCCCGCGCACTTAAGTTGGGGACGGGAAGGGGGCGGGCCCGGGCCTTCTCAACAGGGTGTGGCCCCTCCGGGGACTCACCCCGCACCTGACGGAGGGCGCACTTGGGGTAGCCTTGAACGCAGCGGGGCATCCCCAGTGCCCAGGGGCAGGACACACCGCCAGGCCCCTCAGGCTGACGACGGGGCGCGGGGGACACTGACTGCCAGCTCAGGCCTGACTCCGAACCCCCCCCCCCGGATAGACCCGCCAGCGCACCCGCCCGCCCGGCTCCTGGGAGTGCCGGTTTCACGGTCGGCGAGGCCGGGCACCTGCCTGGGCACGCTGAAGCTGCCAGCCCGGCACCTGCGGCCCGCGGCACCTGCCAGGTCCCCAGCAGGGCACGGGAGGCATGCCTGCCTCGCCGGGTATTTAGATGCCACCTGTGTCGCTGTCCTGTCCTCGGCCTGCCAGGGCGAGCTGCCATCTCAGGTCCCACCCCGGCTCAGGGAGGTTGCTCTAGCTCCCCGGAGGCGCACAGCAGGCGCGGTCCGAGGGCCCTGACCGATTCCTGCGGGGGTGGGGGGTGCTGGGCACCTCCCCGGAACAGAGGAAGTGAGACTGAGGAAAGCCCCAAGGACGGAGCGGTTAGGAGCCTAGTGGGGCGCGGGATGGGCAGGGCAGTCCCCGCTACCCAGGGGATGAGGTCGGAGATTCTGGCTGACTGCGGAGCTGCGAGCAGGGATGGCCTGGGCCAGCCCCGCAGGGGGTCACGAAGGGTTGCATCCTCCACCGGGAGGTGAGCCCAGAGGCCGGTGTGCCTGACCCACGTGCCTCAGTTTACCCCCTGGCCGGCCCCATATCCGGTGGGGCTTTATTCAGTCCGGTTGAGGGTCCTGGCCGCTGGGGAACAGCTGGTTCTGATTTAGACCGGGGAGGCCAGCGCATTCCTGGTAGTTTGTGGCCGGCGGGCTGGAATGCGCTGCAGGGCGGCCGGGGAGGGAGGTGGCCGCAGCGGGTGGGGCTCTGCCCCCTCCTTGGCCCTCGGAGCCTCTAGGGACGTGGCCCGGCTGGACCTGGCACGTCTGGCATCCCGGGCCAGCCCCTGCGCATTCCTGCGGGACTGGGCGGCCCCTGGACGTGGGAGCAGCTGGCCCCCGCCGCCCGCGGCCTCTGTCTCCCCCGCGAGCAGCTAATCCCACTTGAAAGGGTTTAAAAAGACAGGAATAGGGAAGGGGCTCCTGTCAGCAAGCAACCTGTCCAGATGAGATGGGGAACTGGCTGGGTGGTGGCGGCGGTGGCAGGCGGATCTCTGTGAGTTCGAGGCCAGCCTGGGCTACAGAGCGAGATCCAGGACAGACTCCAAAACTACACAGAGAAACCCTGTCTCAGAAACAAAACAAAACAGACAATGGGCAGCTGAGGCCTGGGGAGCTGAGAACCCCCTGTGGTCCTGCACATGGCAGGAGCTGGGCCCACAAGGGCAGCTCCCTAGGGCCCTCTAGTCCCCTGGGGGAGGATGGAGAGGAAGATCCCGGCATGGCCCCTGCCTGCCCAGGCCTGAGATGCCGCTGCAAGGGTGGGCAGGTGGGAGCCCATGGGAAGTGGGTGTGTATGGGGGAATCTGAGGGCTTTTTTTTTTTAACCCAGTCATGTGGAGACAGTTCACCTGGGGAGGCCTATCAGCTGAAATATTGCTAGGCCATGAAAAAGAACGGGCCTCTGGTGGACACTGCCATGTTAGCACCTTCTGGACTCTGTCCTCAGTGAGGACAGATTGAAGTCAGACGCCAAAGCCCCTGGTACATAGGAAGTGCCCGGAATGGGTGAAGCCAGAGGCAGGAGCCAGGCTGGGTGTGTAGCCCAGTTGGCAGAGTGTTCGGGTTTCCTCCCAGGCACTTCACGGTGGCACACAGGTGTCATCCCAGCTCTGGGAGGTGGAGGCAGGAGGATTGGTTCAGGGTCATCTTCAGCTGTAAAGTGATTCAAGGCCAGCCTGGGCTACATGAGACCCTCTGTCCCGTCTTCCCCTGCTGTCTTTGGCCTCATCCATCTGAAAGCTTTGGAAGGTGTGTTTGCGCCCCAGCTCAGCCCTGTGCTCTTTGCTCCTCAGCTCCTGTCCAAATATGACCCCCAGAAGGAAGCCGAACTCCGCAGCTGGATTGAGGGACTCACGGGCCTCTCCATCGGCCCTGACTTCCAGAAGGGTCTGAAGGATGGGGTCATCCTGTGCACGTGAGTGCTCACAGGCACATAGGCCTCAGCCTTAGTGTTCTGTGCTGCGTGGCTTGCTGTGCATTTCCCGTTTGTTTTTCCTTTTTCTTGTCTTATTGCATAGTCTCTCTTTTACTTTTCATTCTCTTGGCTTACTTCTTGTCCTTACTTTATTTTATTTAGGGTTTACTTCATTTGTGTGTGTGTGTGTGTGTGTGTGTGTGTGTGTGTGTGTGTGTGTGTGTGTGTTAGGGCCTGTTAGGGCCTGTGTGCATCTGTGTGTATGTGCACATGAGTACACTTCCCTCAGAGGCCAGAAGAGGGCACTCCGATCCCCTGGAGCTGGCTGTGAGCCATCTGACATGGGTGCTGGGAACTGAACCCAGGGTGTGGGACAGCGACAAGCACCCTAACCTCTGAGCCCTCTGTCTGGCCTCTCGTTGCCTTTCTCTGCAGTATTCAGTCTCTAGTCTCATTTGTCTGTCCCTGTCTGAGGTTTCCTGGTCCCATGGCATTCTCTACATGCCCCGGCTGTGAGCAGTCCTACCCTAGGCCTTCTCCTTCCGGATCCAGTGGCTAATGCTTCTGGAAGTTTCTCCATGCTGTGCATCTGCCCTAGGGAGATTCCACAGTTGTGCACATTAAAAAAAAAAAAAAAACAGTCAAAATTCTCAGATTCCCCTAAAACCCCACGATTCAAGATTACATTCCTAGCATCCATGGTCAACAGCTTTGTTTGCTTGGTAGCTAAAGGGAAACTGAGGCTGGGTAGAGGCTTCATGAGCTTTCTGAGGTCGGGATGCCAATGGAGGGTCCTGGGTCATTTCTTCCCAGACTCATGAACAAGCTGCAGCCAGGCTCTGTCCCCAAGATTAACCGCTCTATGCAGAACTGGCACCAGGTGAGGGCTGGCGAGGTGGGGACGGCCTGCCCAGCCCACCTGTACACCAGCGTCCCTGCTCACCGCTCTTCCCCTGCCTCCTCCCAGCTAGAAAACCTCTCCAACTTCATCAAGGCCATGGTCAGCTATGGCATGAACCCCGTGGACCTGTTCGAGGCCAATGACCTGTTTGAGAGCGGGAATATGACGCAGGTGCAAGTGTCTCTGCTTGCACTGGCGGGAAAGGTAAGGTCCAGAGAGGGTTGGTGGGCAGCCCAGCATCACACAGCGAGGAGGCTGGTGTCAACGCGCAGATGAACCAGACAAACACGGGCCACTCCGTCTGATGTGAGAGGCAGGGAGGGGAGAGATTTGCTGTCTAGAATCTCCCACCTTTCAACAAGAAACTGGAAAGGTGGGTAGAACAGGGTTGAAGGCTAAGGGCAAAGCAAGGTTGCAGAGAGGCCACCGGGAGTCCCTGTATGTGGGGTTGGACGGGTTGTCTCGGGTCTCAAGGGCGGGGCCAGGCACCTGTAGGAACTGGATATGTTTCTGGGGCGTTGTATCCGCTGTCTGATGCTTGCAGTTTGAACCTGAATTCAGGGTCCCTGGGCCCCCTCACCCCCACCCAGGCCAAGACCAAGGGGCTGCAGAGTGGTGTGGACATCGGGGTCAAATACTCAGAGAAACAAGAGAGGAATTTTGATGACGCCACCATGAAGGCCGGCCAGTGCGTCATCGGGCTGCAGGTAGGTGCCGCAGCCCCCTGGACATGCCCTGGCCCCTCGAATTCCAGGGAGGGTCTAGGCCAAAGGTTCTCAGCCTGTGGGTCACGACCCCTTGGGGCCCGAACGACCCTTTCCCAGGGGTTGCATATCAGATATTTACATTATGGTTCCTAACAGTAGCAAAATTAGTTAAGAAGTAGAAACGAAAATAATTTTGTGGTTGGGGGTCACCACAACATGAGGAGCTGTATTAAAGGGTCCCGGCGTCAGGAAGGCCGAGATCCGCTGTGCTAGAGCCTGGCGGCTGCACCCTGACCCCCGCCATGTCCCCTGCAGATGGGCACCAACAAGTGTGCCAGCCAGTCCGGCATGACTGCCTATGGCACCAGACGCCATCTCTACGACCCTAAGAACCACATCCTGCCTCCCATGGACCACTGCACCATCAGCCTCCAGATGGGCACCAACAAATGTGCCAGCCAGGTGAGTCCTGCCCCAGGCCTCGGCTGTGACCCCCGCCACGCTCTGTCCCCCTGCCTCAGGGATTCTAGACTCAACTCTGTGTCTTGCTCACTGCGTGTGCTTTCAGACCTGACAACCCACCCGCTCTGTGCCTCGGTTTCCCCAGAAGTCCACCCCCATCTGATAGCCTCACTGGTTTTGTTAAGTTGAATGCCTGTGTCCCTGAGGTTTGGGGAACCTCAGACGTTGTGGAAGTCTCTGTCCCAGGTGGAGGGGCTTCCTAGCTGTCAAGGAGAAAGTGGGACAGGGATGCTTACAGTCGTCAGAAAACTTTATTTACTTTTGTGCAGAGGGCTGGGTTTAAGACAGGGCCGGACTGTGAGACTCTCAGCCAGCCTGCCTCGGCCTCCTGAGTGCTGAGGTGTCAGGAGCCGGGCGAGGCGCAGCGTGGAGAGTGTTCTAGCATGCGTGAGATTCTGGCTTCCGTCCCAGCATGGCATAAACTGGGCAGGGACATGCTCGCCTGCCATCCAGCACCCAGAAAGTGGAGGCAGGAGAATCAGGAGTTCAGAGTCATCCTTGGCTACATAGTGAGTTTGAGGCCAGCCTGGGCTACGTAAGACCCTTTCTCCAAACGAAAAACAAAAACGGTTTTAGCTAAGCTTTGGAAATCCTGTAGGGAACTGCAGGGGGGTGGATATCGAAGGAATTCAGGGGTCCCCCTTCTGAGCCCTCCCCCCTCTCTAGGTGGGCATGACGGCTCCAGGGACCCGCAGGCACATCTACGACACCAAGCTGGGCACCGACAAGTGCGACAACTCTTCCATGTCCCTGCAGATGGGCTACACGCAGGGCGCCAACCAGAGCGGCCAGGTCTTCGGGCTGGGGCGGCAGATATACGACCCCAAGTATTGCCCACAGGGCCCAGCAGCCGACGGGGCTCCCGTTGAGGGTGATGGCGGCGGCGAGGGCCCTGAGTACCTGGCCTACTGCCAGGAGGAGGCGGGCTACTGAGCACCCAGGGGTGCTGGCTCCCCACATCAGCATCCCTGTGCGGGTTTCTTTTCTTTTCTTTTTTTTTTTTCTTCTTCTGTGTTTTCATTGTGTTGTTTTGTTTTTTTGAAACTGGGCCTCACTTTGTGGCCCTCTCTGGTCTGGAACTCACTGCAATCCTCCTGCCTCAGCTCCTGAGGGCTGGGAGGACAGGCCTGCCTTAGCTATGCTCCCTCCTCGCCCATCATGCCTTGCTTCCTTCCCAGGACTGACCCACCCGGCAGGGAACATGGGGTCTTCGGTGGGGCAGCCAGGCTGTGGATTTCCCAGCAGGCTGTGGGAGAGGCTGGCCCCAAAGAGTTTCCGGTTTCTTCATCTCTTCAGTTTGTGGTTTGCGGACCCATTGAAATTGCAGGCAGTTTCAGAGAAAGAAAACAGGGCTTTTGTGTTTTGTTTGCCGCCCCCCCCCCAACGTGTGGGGGGGGTGCACCTGGGCCTTAAATACTGCGGCCTTCTGAGGGACCGCGTTTGTTTTCCCAGGACCCTCAGACCTCACTCTCCCTTGCCCAGTGGGGAAACTGAGGCCTGGGACTGAGCGAGGCGATGCCGCCCCTGCTGCCCTCCGGGTTCCTCTGGGTTTCCACCTCCCACCCCCTCCTGCACTGGGCCGATGAGCTGTGCTGGGCCCACCCGCCTCCGAAAGTGCCGCCCCTGACCCGCGGGGGCCCCTGCGCCGCCGGATAATGTGAAATACCTTGTGTGGACCAAAACCAATAAAAACCTCCGTTTCTAAGACTGAAGGGTGTTCCTGAAATTGGTGGTGACGGGGGGGCCGTTTAGATGCAGGGGCAAGCCGGGCACAAAAGTTGGGGGAAGGAGGAGAAACTGAGGCCCAGTTGAAGGAATGATTTGAGGTCAGGACTAAGGTGGAGGAAGAGACTTCTTTGAACTCCTGTACATCCTCAAAAACCCAACTCCAAAGCCCCGTTTCCAGCTCTGCCCCTTCCCAGGGCCTGCAGAGCGTGCGTCTACACCCCCCCCCCCTCCGAGCTCATTACGGTTTTGTGAAAGAAACCCGATTTTTTTTCCCCAGTGAGAAACATCCGGGGATTTTGCTCCAAACCCGGGCAACTATTAATTCTAATCTTAGAATGTTGGGCTGCCACCTGATTCTGAAATCGCCTAGTCTACGGAAGGGCTAAGAGGGTGTGGTTGAATGAAGGAGTGAGTGAATGAATGAATGAACGGACGCGGTTAGACCTCCATTTTGTGGGTGAGCTCATGGAGGCTTCACGTTCAAAGTCCGGCTAGCGGCTGGTGAGACGCATCAGGGTGTAAAGGCGCTTGCGGCCAACCCTTCCGTGGTGGAAGGCAAGAACAGACTCCAGGAAGCAAGCAGTCCTGGCCTCCACAGATGCGCCGTGCACGCACGCGTCCTGCCCCAGTAAACACATCAAAAACGAAGGTTGTGCCGGGCGGCGGCGGCGCACGCCTTTAACCCCAGCACAGAGGAAGGAGGGTCTTGAGTTCGAGGCCAACCTGGTCTACAGATGACCTCTAGGCTTGCCAGGCCTCCCAAAGTGTGAGCCGGTCTCAAATAAATATTTAAGATTCCTTGGGGCGAGGAGACAGAGGCGTCTCCTGCAGGGGGAGCGGCCTTCTTGAGGTGTGAACTCAAAGGGGGGGGTGCCCCGTGGTCCCCGACGCGGTGCGTCCCCGGGAAACCAACGTGGTGCGGCCAGAAGCGGTCCCTTTAAGAAACCCGGCTCGGCGCGCCCAGGCCGTGGTCCCGCCCCCTCCCGTGGCAAAGACCCGCGAGTGGCAGGAGCATTGTCCAATAGCAGCGCTGGGGGCGGGGCCGAGTGCAGCCCGGGGCCGCGGGTTGCGAAGGGCGTCGTCCGCAGTGGAGGGGGCTCCTCTTAAAGGGGCCGCGCTCCCCCGCCGATGCCGGGCGGAGCGACGGTGGACGGAGTCTGGGGGGCTCAGAACGGTGAGGAGGACCCCGAGAGGGTGGAGGGCGGAGCCTGGCGAGCTGGGGGTGCTGTGGGGTGCGGGTGGGCGGAGCCGCGTCCCCGGGTAATTAGGGGTTCCAGGCGAGCCCCTCCCCTCCCTCGCCCTTCCTTACCCTTCCCGCGAGTGTGGGAAAAACTGGCCGCTGTTTCTCACGGCGGGCTTCTGGTCACGTCCTACCCCCGCCGCGCCCCACTTTCCCAATGACGCGGGTTCTCCCGGATTCCCAAATCCTCCCGGATTCCCAAATCCCACTGTGTAAAAGATAAACGTCCGCGAGTGGAAGCCGCCAGTTCCCACGCAGAGGGCTAAGCTTTGGCCACTGCCTTCGGGGTCAGCCTCAGTTTCCCTGTCTGTCTTATGAAGTAGGCCACAGACAGACCGTCCTGGGGGGGAGGGGAAGCGATCAGGAGTGGCTGGCTCAGGGAGCCGACCCCGCAGCTGGGGGTCGTCTGGCCCATCTCCGGTTTCCTTGGGAGCGTGACTCTGCCCCCTTTGGAGCCTCAGTTTCCATCTCTGTGACACGGAGGCTGTCCGCACTGGGGACAGAGGCTGCGGGTCTGACCGTGGGTCGCCGGGGGCCGTGGGATCCGAGCCCCGGGTCCCGGACGCGGCGGAGCCCGGAGCCCGAGGCCTGCGATGCAAGCTCCGCCCCCGAAGAATGCGGACAGGGTCTTCCAGACCCCAGCCTTCAGCCCACCGGGAGCGATCGCCCTTCCAGCCAATCAGCTACGGAGACGGCAGCGGGCCGGGCTCCCATTGGTCACCCCTTGATGTTTGCGGGGCTCTCCTTTCCGGAGATTCCCGCAGCTCAGTGAGAAGAAGGGGGGATGAGGGTGGATGGAAGGATGAAGATCAGAGACCGTCAGGCATCTGCCTGGAGCCACACAGCTCCCCCCCAGCCTGTTCGTCCTGTGCTCTCCGCTCTGTTCCCCGTCCAGAGTCATCATGGCCTTCTGCACACAGCTGATGCTCCTCCTGTGGAAAAATTACACATATCGAAGGAGACAGCCGGTAAAGCCTGGGGTATGCAGGTGCGGGGCGACGGCAGGTGTCCATCGCGGTCCCCCAGAGTCTCCTACACATTCTTCCCCCAGATCCAGCTCCTAGTGGAGTTACTGTGGCCCCTCTTCCTCTTCTTCATCCTGGTGACCGTCCGCCACTCCCACCCACCGCTGGAGCACCACGAATGTAAGAGCCACTGTGCGAGCCGCGCGGCGGTGGCGCACGCCTTTAACCCCAGCCCTCGGGAGGCAGAGGCGGGAGATCTCTGTGAGTTCCAGGCCAGCCTGGTCTACAGAGCGAGATCCAGGACAGCCAGGGCTGCACAGAGAAACCCTGTTGAGAAAAAGAAAAGAAAAGAAAGAAAGAAAGAAAAAGGCCCACTGTGTGTCGTGGGAGGGGACAAGCCTCTCCCGCCAAGCCCGGTGCTGGGGCTGAGCTGGGTGTGGCAGAAGGGAGGGCGACTCTGAGCAGGTGCCTCTCCCCCCAGGCCACTTTCCAAACAAGCCGCTACCATCCGCGGGCACCGTGCCCTGGCTGCAGGGCCTTATCTGCAATGTCAACAACTCCTGTTTCCAGCAGCCAACGCCTGGCGAGAAGCCGGGGGTCCTGAGCAACTTTAAGGATTCCCTGTAAGTAGAGTGGGTGGGTGGGGCCGGCCCACGAGTGGCGTTTGGGACTCTTGAGCCCCGCCTCCCATCCCCTCTCTGCCCCAGGATCTCCAGACTCCTTGCCGATGCTCGAGCAGTGCTGGGGGGGCGCAGCACCCAGGAGATGCTGGCGGCGCTGGGGAAACTGATGCCCCTGCTCAGAGCGGCGGGAGGTGGAGGTAGAGGAAGAGGGAGCCCTCAGCTTGGGGGCGGGGGAGCAGGCCCCTCAAGCTGAGCTTTGCCTAACATGGGCATCCTCTCCCCTCAGCCTGGCCGCAAGAGAGTCATCCACTGAACAAGCAAGCGTCAGTGACCACTGAGCTCAAAAAGATCCTGCAAGGGGTGAGGAGGAGGGGCTGACATGGTCAGGGACTCCCGTGTGGGGCCTGGAACCAGCCCTTCCCCATCAACCTTCCCCCACCTCATTTGTAAAAGGCTGGGGCTCCGGGGGTGGAGCTCTCACCTGCCCGTGGGCTCGGGCCCAGCTCCCCTGGCGTCTCAGCACTCGGGGTGGATGCAGGAGGATCAGAGTCTGAGGTCATCCTTGGCCCGAGGACTGCTGAGCAGTCCACCCGGGTCTCAGGCTCGCTTGTTCTCTTGTTGACAGGCGTCCCTGGAGCCTGTGCTGGGTCAAGCCCAGGATTCCATGAGGAAGTTCTTGGATACCACCAGGGACCTTACCCAGGAGGTGAGAGGCTCCAGGAAGCAGTACTAAGCAGGCAGGGGCGGGGTGGGGCCTAAAGGTGTGCCTGGCCCTGCCCTGCCTCAGACTGCGAGCTGGAAGAAGCTGTGTGGTGCTGCATTACCGTGGCTGCACTCCAGAGGCTGGGCCGGGGAACTGTGAGAGAGAGGCAAGCTTGGGCTCCAGAGCGAGGCAGTATCTCAGTCAAACAAACAAACGAACAAATACACAGAAGGGCTGGCGTTGTAGCTCAGTCGGCGGAGTGCTTGTAGCTCAGTCGGCGGAGTGCTTGTAGCTCAGTCGGTAGAGTGCTTGTAGCTCAGTCAGCGGAGTGCTTGTAGCTCAGTCGGCGGAGTGCTTGTAGCTCAGTCAGCGGAGTGCTTGTAGCTCAGTCGGCGGAGTGCTTGTAGCTCAGTCGGTGGAGTGCTTGTAGCTCAGTCGGTAGAGTGCTTGTAGCTCAGTCGGTAGAGTGCTTGTAGCTCAGTCAGCGGAGTGCTTGTAGCTCAGTCAGCGGAGTGCTTGTAGCTCAGTCGGCGGAGTGCTTGTAGCTCAGTCAGTAGAGTGCTTGTAGCTCAGTCGGCGGAGTGCTTGTAGCTCAGTCGGTAGAGTGCTTGTAGCTCAGTCAGCGGAGTGCTTGTAGCTCAGTCGGCGGAGTGCTTGTAGCTCAGTCAGCGGAGTGCTTGTAGCTCAGCTGGTAGAGCGTTTGCCTAGCATGCATGAAATCCTGCATTCTACCCCTAACTCCCCACAGCGCCCTGTCAGGATGAACTTACACAGCAAGTAAGGCCACCAGCCTCATGAGACTGTGTTTCAATAAAATAAAATGAACAAATAAGCACAGGGGACTGGGACGCTCTGTAGGAGGCGCCCAGCGCCCCTTGGTGGCCTTTCTCCAGCTCCTGACGCTGCCCAGCCTGCTGGAGCTCCGAGCGTTGCTGCGGAGGCCCCGAGGGTCAACCGGCTCGCTGGAGCTGCTTTCAGAGGCCCTCTGCAGCACCAAGGGGCCCGGCAGCCCAGGGGGCCTCTCCCTCAACTGGTACGATGCCAGCCAGCTCAACGAGATCGTGGGGCCGGAGCTGGCCCCTGCCCTGCCCGACAGCAGCCTCAGTGAGTCGCTACGCCGCTGGGTTCCGGGTGGGCCGATGGAGGGTGGAGGGACGCAGTGGGGCCTCACGTTACCCCGTACCAGGCCCTGCCTGCTCCCAGTTCATGGGGGCGCTGGATGACCATCCCGTGTCGCGACTGCTCTGGAGGCGCCTGAAGCCGTTGATCCTCGGGAAAATTCTCTTTGCCCCTGACACAAACTTCACTCGGAAGCTCATGGCGCAGGTGAGACACAGGAACCAGTGGGGGACAGCAACAGTGACAGCCTCAGAGGAGGGGCTGGGGGCGTGGTCAGGGTGGAGCCCCGCCTAGAATCCCCAGTGAGGGGCTGGGGGCGTGGTCAGGGTGGAGCCCCGCCCAGAATCCCCAGTGAGGGGCTGGGGGCGTGGTCAGGGTGGAGCCCCGCCCAGAATCCCCAGTGAGGAGCACGGGGCAGGGCTCAGTGGTGACGGGGTGTACACAGAGCTCTGGGCTCTATCACTAGAACACAAAATACAAAAATAGAAAGAGAGGGAGAGGGAGAGAGGGAGGGAGAGAACACAGGTTAAAGCCGTGGCTCTTTAGAGAAACAGGTTTATAATCCCGACACTCAGAAGGAAGCTGAGGCATCTGGAGTTCCAGCCTAAGCTCTAGGGTGAGACGCTGTCTCAAAGGTAGGAAAGTCCAGTGACTGCAGCGCACGCCTTTAGTCCCAGCATTTGGGAGGCAGAGGCGGGTGGATCTCTGTGAGTTCCAGATCAGCCAGGGGACAGTGACACTCGATGGTGATGATGATGACGATGATGATGATGATGATGATGATGATGAAGAGAAAGGTCCAGAGGCCAGGGCACGGCCAAGCTCAGAGCAGGTGTGTGGAAAGGCGGCCTCAGCTGACCTCAGCTCCCACTTGCAGGTGAACCGCACCTTCGAGGAAATGGCTCTGTTGAGGGACCTACAAGAGGTCTGGGGGGTGCTGGGACCCCAGATCTTCAACTTCATGAATGACAGTGCCAACACGGCCATGCTTCAGGTGGGCTGGGCGAGTCGGCCACCTCCGGGCTAGGGTCTCCAGGAGGGAAGGGTGGAGGGAGACCTCTCGTTCCCCTCCCCAGAGACTGCTGGAGGTGGAGGGCTCAGGGCAGAGGCAGCAGACACCCAGAGGCCAGAAGCAGCTGGCTGCCCTCCGAGATTTTCTGGACCCCAGTAGGGGTGGCTACAGCTGGCGGGAGGCCTACGCGGACATAGGGCGCCTGGCAGGAATCCTGGGCCAGATCATGGAGGTGAGGGGTTGTCATGGATGGTGGAGTGGGCCTTTCCCTGGTGACCTGAAAGGGACCGGCGGCAGATCCTGTCCTGGAAGGTGCAGCACAGAGAAATCTGGGCTTCGTTTATGTCTGAAGAGGGCGCCCACTGGCCATGTGTATGGTCACCCAGGGGTACGAGGGACCCAGGGGGAAGGGGCTGGGGACTGAGGGTTCAGTCACACCCTAGAGTTCATCCCCCCCCCCCAGTGTGTGTCCCTAGACAAGCTGGAGGCTGTGCCCTCCGAGGGAGCTCTTGTGTCCCGTGCCCTGGAGCTGCTGGGTGAGCGCCGCCTCTGGGCGGGCATCGTCTTCTTGAGCCCTGAGGACCCTCTGGACCCATCGGAGCTGTGGTCTCCAGCCCTGGGTCCTGGCCACCTGCGATTCAAGATCCGAATGGATATCGATGACGTCACAAGGACCAACAAGATCAGGGACAAGTGAGGGGAGAGAGCTTCGGGGGGGCCTGGGGGGCAGGGCCAAGGCCGTGCCTGTCGGAGGTGATAGATGGAACTAGGTGTGAGTGTGGCCAAGGGTCCGGGATAAGGTCTGTGGGGGGCGGGGGGAGTGCTGTGCAGCAGTGGGGTTAGCCAAGGGCAGTGGGGGGCTAGCCTAGTACAAAGAGCGGCCAGCCAAGTCTATCATGGACTTCCCAAGTGTGGAGACAGGGGAGCTGGCTAAGTGCATTATTAAATCTGGAAAAGAAAGGGCTGATGGGAAGGGGCCTCTGTGAGTTTCTTCACTTCCATGGAGCTTATCCACTGAATCTGGCATCTCCCAGGTTTTGGGACCCAGGGCCATCTGCAGACCCTTTCATGGACCTTCGATATGTGTGGGGTGGCTTCGTGTACCTGCAGGACCTGCTGGAGCAGGCGGCTGTGCGTGTGCTGAGTGGAGGGGACGCCCGCACCAGCCTCTATCTGCAGCAGATGCCGCACCCCTGCTACGTGGATGACGTGTGAGTGCGTCCTCACATCCTGCCTGGGCTCTGTGGTTTGGAGGGGCCCTCCAGACTTCCAGGGTCTCCCCATAAAGAAATCAAGTGGCCTGTGCTGGGAGCTGGCGTCCTCTGGCTGGATCAGCCCTCTGAGGATGTCACCCCAGGGTGACACTTGAGCCGCACCCGTGTGCGCACCCTGTGCCGGGGCTTGCAGCTGCGTCCCACTTTCCCACCACTCCAGGTTCCTGCGCGTGCTCAGCCGGTCTCTGCCCCTGTTTCTGACTCTGGCCTGGATCTATTCGGTGGCGCTCACCGTGAAGGCCGTGGTGCGGGAGAAAGAGACGAGGCTGCGGGAAACCATGCGAGCCATGGGGCTGAGCCGCGCCGTGCTCTGGCTGGGCTGGTTCCTCAGCTGCCTGGGACCCTTCCTGGTCAGCACGGCGCTGCTGGTGTTAGTGCTCAAGGTGAGGGATCCTGGATGCCGCCCCTCCCACCCACCCCGCGCCCCGTGGTGTGAAGCTCGGACACGCATCCCCAGCGCCCATCTCGGGATGGGGTCCTGAAAGTCTTGTGCTCTCTCCCAGCTAGGGAGCATCCTTCCTTACAGCCACCCGGCTGTCCTCTTCTTCTTCTTGGCGGCCTTCGCGGTGGCCACCGTGGCTCAGAGTTTTCTGCTCAGCGCCTTCTTCTCCAGGGCCAACCTGGCAGCTGCCTGTGGGGGCCTCCTCTACTTCTCCCTCTACCTGCCCTACGTGCTGTGTGTCGCCTGGCGTGAGCGCCTGCCCCTAGGCGGCCTTGTCGCCGCGGTGAGGAATGCTCCAGCCTGTGAGGGGATGGATACCCACAGAGTGTAGCCAGCTCCCTGAACCCCCCTCCCTCTCCCCAGAGCTTGCTGTCCCCCGTGGCCTTCGGCTTCGGATGTGAAAGCCTGGCGCTGCTGGAGGAGCAGGGGGATGGGGCGCAGTGGCACAATTTGGGCAGGGCCCCTGCGGAGGATGTCTTCAGCCTGGCGCAGGTGTCTGCCTTCCTGTTGCTGGACGCCGCCATCTATGGCCTCGCCCTCTGGTACCTGGAGGCCGTCTGCCCAGGTGGGCCACGGGGGAAGTGCTCCAGGTGGGGACACGCCGGCTCTCTGGAGTGTTCCTGGGCACCAGGAGAGATGTTTTAGGGTGTGTTGATGGGATATTGAAGTGCATAGACTTTGCCTCCTGCTGTTTGGTGTCTGGGAACAGCCTGGGTTAGAACACCACCCAGGATGGCTGGAGCTTCCCTCTGGGGCACACTCTCACTGTCCTGGCCACAAGACACCACATTTTAGGGCATGTCTCTGGGATACTGGGTTTCTGGAAGTACATTTCCTAGCTGATGCTACCACTGAGGGGCAGGGTCCCTGGGTGCCCCGATTCCAAGTGTGTGGCCTGGGAGTTCTCACGTCTCATGGGCGTGACAAGTGTAACCGAGCGTCACTTTCCACCAGGCCAATATGGGATCCCTGAGCCATGGGATTTCCCCTTTCGGAGGAGCTACTGGTGTGGGCCTGGATCTCCCCGGAGTTCTGTCTTGGCCCCTGCCCCACAAGATGCCAAGGGTGAGGCCCCATGACAATTACTAACCTTTTGCTGGTTTTGACTCCCTTGTCTCCCCTAGAGAAACAGGTCCCTCAATGCCCTGGACACCCCAGGCCCTGGCCCCTAGGGATCTCCCCCAGAGCCTTGTGCATGCTAGCAAGCATTCTACCACTGAATGACATCTCAGGCCCTCTCTGCTGGTTTCCGTGCAGGGGCTCTATCCCCGAGCCATGCCCCAGTTCCTTCTAGGGGGGACTCTAGACAGAGACTCTACCCCGAGCCACATTTTTTTTTGAGACAGGGTCTCACTAAGTTGCCCGGGCTGACCTTAAGCTCACGAGCGTCCCTTCCTTAGCCTCCTAAGTAGCTGAGGTGACCATCCCGCACCATGCCCGTCTCCCTTAACTCTCATAGGACCCTAATTCCACTGACCAGCTCTGAGGGACCCCCAGGCCCACAGCTGACCCTGTTCTCCCTCCACAGTTCTGTTGGAAGAACCACCACCTGGCCTCATTCCCGGTGTCTCCATCCGTGGCCTGAAGAAGCATTTTCGTGGCTGTCCGCAGCCAGCCCTCCGAGGACTCAGCCTTGACTTCTACCAAGGCCACATCACTGCCTTTTTGGGTCACAACGGGGCTGGCAAGACAACTACACTGTGAGCCGCCAGCCACTACGCCCCTTCCCTCAGTTTCCCCATCTAGTCCATGCATCGGGGTTGGAGGATCCCAGGTGTGCAGTGGAGCAGGAACTGGGTCTGGTTTGTACACACAGTAGTTAAGATACGGCGCTCCTCTGAGCCCACTTCCCTCCCCTGGAAAAGGAGCACACGGCACCCTGCGAGTGTAGGTGGCCCTCTGTCCCTGAAGGGCAGCTTCTCTGAGATCCCTGCACCCACAGGTCCATCTTGAGTGGTCTTTTCCCACCCAGTGGTGGCTCGGCCTCCATCCTGGGCCATGATGTGCAAACCGACATGGCAGCCATCCGGCCCCACCTGGGCATCTGCCCACAGTACAATGTGCTGTTTGACATGTGAGTCCTGCCGGGCCTGGACGGGGGCGGCGGGAGGGGCCTGGTGTCATCTGAGACACACACACACACACACACACACACACACACACACACCAAGGGAGTCACTGCGGACCACCCCTGGCCACAGGCTGACGGTGGATGAGCATGTGTGGTTCTACGGCCGTTTGAAAGGCGTGAGCGCAGCTGCCGTGAGCTCTGAGCAGGAACGTCTGATACGGGATGTGGGGCTCGTCCCCAAGCGGGACGCACAGACGCGCCACCTCTCCGGTGAGTAGGCCGCCTCCGTGGGGTGTAGAACTTGGGGGGCTGACGGGGCCCTGAGGTATGCTCAGGTGGGGAAGTGAGGCTGCCCCACAAGCAGCTGGGTGGGTCACATTAGGGTTGTCCCTCCCTCCACGCAGGTGGGATGCAGCGGAAACTGTCTGTGGCCATTGCCTTTGTGGGTGGCTCCCGGGTAGTCATCCTGGATGAGCCCACTGCTGGTGTGGACCCCGCTTCTCGACGTGGCATTTGGGAATTACTGCTGAAGTACAGGGGGGGTAAGAGCTGGAAGATGGGGTGGAATAGCCCGAAAAAAAAAAAAAAAGGTTTCTGAGTATGAAATGCTGGGATGGGGTTCTGAGGGATGCACAGGAGTTTGCTGCATAGGGTTAGGCAATTCCTGAGAGACACTGCCGCCTGGGTAGAGGCCTGGTGAACCCAGCGGTTCACATGGATTGGGTCCCCATGTCCAGATCGCACACTGATCCTCTCCACTCACCACCTGGATGAGGCGGAGCTCCTGGGAGACCGCGTGGCCATGGTGGCGAACGGCTCTTTGTGCTGCTGTGGGTCCCCGCTTTTCTTGCGTCGACACTTGGGCTGCGGTTACTACCTGACGCTGGTGAAGAGTCCTCAGGCCCTCAACACCCAGGACTCGGAGGTGAGGGCTGGAACTGGCCGCTGAGCCCTGTCCCCAGCTCTGCCCTGCGGAGATGGACCACTGTCTTTCTCTATGAAGGGAGACAGCGGGGACCCCAGACGGAAGCAGAAACCAGGCAGCGAGGGCAACGTGGCCGGTGAGACTGGGCCCGGGGACCCTAAGGGAATGCCGGGGGCCAGCAGGCACTTAACACCAGAGCTCAAGACCCCAGACCGGACGCCTGTCCTTCCTTCACCCCGACCTGTGTCCACAGGGACAACTCTCACCCAAGGAGCCTCGGACGGGAGCGGCCAGGCCCCAGCTCCCGATGCGGCCTCCATCACCCCGAGGACACCCCGGATACTAGACCTAGTGCGGCGCCATGTTCCTGGAGCTCAGCTGGCGGAGGAGCTGCCCCATGAGCTGGTGCTGGCGCTGCCCTATGCGGGTGCCCTGGATGGCAGCTTTGCCATGGTCTTCCAAGAGCTGGATCGGCAACTGGAGGCTCTGGGACTCACCGGCTATGGGATCTCGGACACCAACCTGGAGGAGGTGTGGGACCTAGTGGGATTTTGAAGGATGAATAGGAGTCTGCTTATGGATGGCAAGGGGGAGATCCAGGCAGGAAAGATGGCTCTTGGGGAAGGTGGATGGCTTGGAGATCTCTTGAGGAGGCCTGGGGGAACCAGTGGTTTATGGGGGTGTCCCTCCTACGAGCCTCTTGCTCTGTCTCCTCAGATCTTCCTAAAGGTGGTGGAGGATGCACACAGAGAAGGTACGCCATAGCTGTGACCCTTCAACCCAACCCTGGTTTGGAATCAAAACAGGCCTGAGGCCCGTCACTCATCCCCGGCTGGGTCTGTCCTCAGGGCAGAACCCCAGGTTCCTCCCTGGTGCTGGCCCCAAGTCCTCCTTCTGAATGCTGGCCCTTCCCTGCTTTGGGCTCTGGCTTGGTTTCCCCAGGAAGCAAGACCCTGTCCCCCACCCTGAACCCCGCTGGCTCCACAGGAGGTGACTCCGGACAGCAGCACCTGCACCCCCCCACGGCCACTCTGCAGCCCCACACGGGGCCAGAGGCGTCAGCCCTGGAGAACGGGGAGCTGGGTGAGTCTCTTGCCTGCTCACACCCTGCCCCATCACCCCCAAGGTGCCGGAGCTCACCTTCCCATCCCCCACAGCTAGGTTGATGCTGGATCCCCAGGCCCCGCAGGGCTCCACACCCGGCGGTGGCGATGCTGCTCCCGTGCAAGGCTGGACACTGACCTGCCAACAGCTCCGGGCTCTGCTCCACAAGCGTTTCCTGCTTGCCCGCCGCAGCCGCCGGGGCCTGTTTGCACAGGTTTGACAAGGCCCTGCACCACAGAGGAGGCATGGCTGTCCTGGGCTGTCCACTCAGGGTTTTCATTCCTGCAGAGGGCGCTGGGGAGCCCCGGGGTGGGAGCAGGGTAGGGTGTGTGGAGGTGGGTGCTGACGACACTGTCCCCCAGATTGTGCTGCCTGCTCTCTTCGTGGGCCTGGCCCTGCTCTTCAGCCTTATCGTCCCTCCGTTCGGCCAGTACCCGCCCCTGCAGCTCAGCCCCGCTATGTACGGCCCCCAGGTCTCCTTCTTCAGGTGGGTGCTGGGCACAGTGGGCAGGTGACTGTGGGCAGGTGACGGGATCGTCACAGTCACAGTGATGACCTGTCACCCCACAGTGAGGACGCCCCTGGGGACCCCAACCGGGTGAAGCTGCTGGAGGCGCTGCTGGGCCAGGCCGGGCTGCAGGTCCCCAGTCTGCAGGGCGCAGCTGCCAGGTGAGGCTGACCCAGCCAACTGTCCTTGGCGTATCCCCCACCCCAGAAACTGCGTCAGTTTCCCCCAGACTCTGCCTCAGCTTCCTCTCTTGATCTGCCTCCATTTTCCTGCCTGGTCTCTGCCTTGATTTCCCTCTGAGTTCCCACCTCAGTTTTCTTGTCAGGATTCTGGCCTCAGTTTCCCTCCATGGCTCCTTGCCTCTGTTCCCCTCTGGCCCTGGTGAGCAGGCCTCCCTCGCCTCATGGGAATGTGGGGTCTGTGTCTGCTAGCACCCCCTTTCCCAGCACCCACAGCCCTTTCCGACTCCATAGAGGATCCGAGTGCGCACACTCCTTGGCCTGCTACTTCTCGGTCCCCGAGGTCCCTGCAGATGTGGCCGGCATCCTGGCCAGTGGTAACTGGACTCCAGAGTCTCCGTCCCCAGCATGCCAATGCAGCCAGCCTGGAGCCCGCCGCCTGCTGCCAGACTGCCCGGCCGGAGCTGGGGGTCCACCGCCACCCCAGGCCATGGCTGGCTTGGGGGAGGTGATCCAGAATCTCACTGGCCGAAATGTGTCTGACTTCCTGGTGAAGACTTACCCCAGCCTGGTGCGCCGGGGGTAAGCACCCAGGTTCTGTGTGCCAGCACTGGGGAGGCTGGGTGGTCCCCATGCCCCATACTGACCCTTCCCATTCGACTGTATCACTCTGTTTCCCATGTATGTCCTGCAGCCTGAAGACTAAGAAGTGGGTGGATGAGGTCAGGTGAGATGGGACCTGGTGTGGGAAACCCTGTCTGTCCCTTTCCCACACCCTCTGGTGGCCTGCCCACTTCCCCAGCTCCTCAGTCTCCATCTCCACCCCAAACCATTCCCCAGATACGGGGGCTTCTCCCTGGGAGGCCGAGACCCAGACCTGCCCTCAGGGCATGAGGTGGTCCGCACAGTGGCAGAGATGCGGGCGCTGCTGAGCCCCCAGCCTGGCAATGCCCTAGACCGCATCCTGAACAACCTCACTCAGTGGGCCCTTGGCCTTGACGCCCACAACAGCCTTAAGGTGGGAGCTGGGGCCAGCAGGTGGTGGCCGGGGCCATCCAAGGCCACTCGCCTCTCGGACCTCATGGCCTTTGATCCATTCAGATCTGGTTCAACAACAAGGGCTGGCATGCCATGGTGGCCTTTGTGAACCGAGCCAACAATGGACTCCTACATGCCCTCCTGCCGTCTGGCACGGCCCGCCATGCCCACAGCATCACTACGCTCAACCACCCTTTGAACCTGACCAAGGAGCAGCTGTCTGAGGCAGCGCTGTGAGTCCATCCATTTACTCTCCGTGTGTGGTCTTGTTGCTCAGAGGTGGTGGGGACTGGATCGGAGCCTTCCCTGGCCTGGGCTAGTGACAGAATGTCATCCCAACACTGGAAAGGCCAGGCAGTGGGAGGGCGCACGCCTTTAATCTCAGGACACAGGAGGCAGAGGCAGGCAGATCTCTGTGAGTTTAAGGCTAGCCTGGTCTACTTACATAGAAAGTTCCAGGCTATGTAGAGAGGCCCTGTCTCAAAACAAACAAACAACAACAAAAACAAACAAACAAAGAGACTTTCAGGATGAAAAACATCCAGGCACCCTGGTTCTTGTCCCACTTTTAAGGACCCAGACCTCTCCCATGCCTGTGTCCCCAAATTGCCATGCCTCTCTCCTGCCGGGAATCAATCCCAAAGACCCAGCATCATGCCCCATTTTGCTCTGAGCTACTCCCAACCTCTCACCCGCAGGGTGGCCTCCTCAGTGGATGTCCTTGTCTCCATATGTGTGGTCTTCGCCATGTCCTTTGTCCCAGCCAGCTTCACCCTGGTCCTCATCGAGGAACGTGTCACCAGAGCCAAACACCTGCAGCTGGTCAGCGGCCTGCCTCAAACCCTCTACTGGCTTGGCAATTTCCTCTGGGACATGGTATGTGTGGCTGGCCACCAGGTAGGGGTGGGTGGTCACCTGGCCACAAGAGAGGGGAGGGGAGGAACAGCTGACCCTGACCCCTGACCCTCCGAGCGACTGAGGTGACTCCTGTCTCGGATACAGTGTAATTACTTGGTGGCAGTGTGCATAGTGGTGCTCATCTTCCTGGCCTTTCAGCAGAGGGCCTACGTGGCGCCGGAGAACCTGCCCGCCCTCTTACTCTTGCTGCTGCTGTATGGGTGAGACCCCCGGCCCCTTGAGGTCTACTCTTCTTGTGGGGGGAGGAGATCCATAGTAACTGGAGAAAAAGACTCTCACGTCCAATAGGACCTCAAGAATGGTAGGATTCAGGGGTTGGAGAGATGGCTCAGTGGTTAAAAATGCTGGCTACTCTTTCAGAGGACCCAGGTTCAGTTTTCAGCACCCACATGATGGCTCACAACCTTCTGTAACTGCAGTTTCAGAGGATCCGATGCCCTCTTCTGACCTCTGCAGGCACCAGGCACACACATAATGTGTGTACATAGAAGCAGCCAAACACTCAATCACATAAATAAAAATGAATAAATCTTTAAAAAAAAAAAAAAAAAGGTCAAGGTGGTGGTGCACACCTTTAATTCCAGCACTTGGGAGGCAGAGGCAGGTGGATCACTGTGAATTCAAGGATTACCTGGGCTTCATAGTGAGACCAAGGGGGTGGGGAAGGAGTTAGAATTGGGAGCTAGCCAACGTGGCCTTAAAAGCTCATCACATCCTGGCACCTAATACAGATCTGAGGCACATAGTACAGATCTGAGGGGGGTTATCCTGAGGGCCACCCAGTGTGTCAAGTCACTGGTAGCACTTGTCACCCTTCCCTTTCAGCTGGTCCATCACACCTCTAATGTACCCTGCCTCCTTCTTCTTCTCCGTGCCCAGCACGGCCTATGTGGTACTCACCTGCATTAACCTCTTCATTGGCATCAACAGCAGCATGGCCACCTTTGTGCTGGAACTGCTTTCAGATCAGGTGGGATCTTGTCACAAAACCTGGGGCTAGGGCTGGGCTGAGTTACTGGGCGCTGTTGGGCTTAGCTGCTGACCTGCTAGGCTCTACCTGCCCCTGAACAGAACTTGCAAGAAGTAAGCCGGATTCTGAAGCAAGTGTTTCTTATCTTCCCCCACTTCTGCCTGGGCCGAGGACTTATCGACATGGTGCGGAACCAGGCCATGGCAGATGCCTTTGAGCGCTTGGGTGAGAATGTCTGTCAAATGGGGACTGTGAACAGCACCACTGGGAGGGCTACCTCTCAATTTGGTTATATGAGATGGGGACACATTAACTGGACAATTTTAGGTGGCACAAAAATGATGTCAAATTAAAAGTGAGGAAAAGGTAATTAAAACGTCATATCATGAAAGGTCTATGACCACACATAAAAGAAGATGTGAAACTTTACAGTCTAGGTCAGCTGTACCCTAGCAGCACAGGCCATGGTCACTTTTCTTGAATCCAAGGTAAACTGGACGGGGTGAGACCCAGTGTCTCCTGTCCCCACAGGAGACAAACAATTCCAGTCACCCCTACGCTGGGACATTGTCGGCAAGAACCTTCTGGCCATGGTGGCCCAGGGACCCCTGTTCCTGCTCATCACACTCCTGCTCCAGCACCGCAGTCACCTCCTGCCACAGTCAGTGGGGACCAGGTGAGGGTGGTGGCGGCCAGCATCCTTCCCTGGGTCCTTTTACCTGTCTATCCTCAGACCCAAACCGGGACCGCTGCCGCCCCTGGATGAGGAGGATGAGGATGTAGCTCGAGAGCGGGAGCGTGTGACCAAGGGGGCCACCAAGGGGGACGTGCTGGTCCTCCGGGACTTGACTAAGGTAGGCACAGGGTGGGGACAGGAGCCAGGTCGGGGCTGGCACGGGCACTCTGTCCCTTCTCAAGAGGCCCCGCCCCTACAGGTGTACCGTGGACAGAAGAGTCCGGCTGTGGATCGCCTGTGCCTGGGGATCCCCCCTGGGGAGGTGAGTCTGGGCGGAGAACTCAGTGCTGGGTCAGGCAGGGCTGGAGGCTCCTCGCTGTTTGTCGAGTACCTCCTGTTTGTCTGTCCACCTCGACCAAGCCCCTTCAGTGACCCCACTTTCCTGAGCACCGCTGCGCTCACATCACCTTTCATTAAGCCCCTTCTGTTACCTAATTTTTACTTATTCACTTATTTTTGGTTTTCGAGACAGGGTTTCTCTATGTAACAGTCCTGGTTGTCCTGGAACTCATTTTGTAGCCCAGGCATACTGATTGCCACTGTGGGGGGACCGTCCTTTCCCACGCACTAACAGCATTGAGTCTTCGCTCTATTCCCGGCCATGTCAAGTCCTTCTCAGTTAAAACTTCTTAGGCACCTGTTTCTGCCTTCGAGGCCTTGGGCACATGCAAACTCATTACCTGGCCGTGGTTCACTGGCTGCCTACCAGGGAGTCAGAACACATCCGTGAACGCACGTGAGCCTGCTGAGGCAGGAGGATCCCGTGTTCAAGGTTGTCTTTGACCATATAGGGAGTTCAAAGCCAGCCTGGGTTACATGAGACCCTGGGTGCCCAAAACCATTCTCTGCCTCTCCCAGCCCCCACCCCCTGCCCTCACCCTTCCATGTGGTAGCACTGGGGGCTGAGGGCTGTGGCCCTGGACTTGGGCTGTGAAGGGTTTGTGGGTTCCTTTCAGTGCTTTGGGCTGCTGGGCGTCAATGGGGCAGGGAAGACGTCCACCTTCCGCATGGTGACAGGGGACACACTGCCCAGCAGCGGTGAAGCAGTGTTGGCAGGACACAGGTAAGAGGTTCCTGGTGGGGGCATATGTATCCTGCACCCTGGTTCTTCCCCCATCGGTCCGTGAGTGGATGTGGTACTTCACCAGGCCACCGCCTGGGATCTGCGTCCCGCTGTGCACGGCCCACGTGCCCTGGGACTCCTCGCCCTCCGCAGACACCTATGCCGTCCTGCATGGGTGGCCTGCAAGCTCTTGAGCCTCCTGTCCCCAACCCCAGCGTGGCCCGGGATCCAGCTGCCGCACACCGCAGCATGGGCTACTGTCCCCAGTCTGACGCCATCTTCGACCTGCTGACGGGCCGGGAACACCTGGAGTTGTTTGCGCACCTGCGCGGGGTGCCCAAGGCCCAGGTTGCCCAGGTGAACTCCGTCCCTATGCTTACTGTGGCCTGGCCCCTCTCGGTATGGTCCCGCCCACGCTCACCACCCCCCCCCCCCACACCCCCCCACACCTCCGCAGACAGCGCTCTCGGGCCTGGTGCGCCTGGGCCTTCGCAACTACGCGGACCGACCCGCGGGCACCTACAGCGGAGGGAACAAGCGGAAGCTGGCCACAGCCCTGGCTCTGGTTGGGGACCCAGCAGTGGTCTTTCTGGTGCGTGGAGGCGGGGACTGAGTGGGTTGTGGGTGGGACCTGAGTGGGAGGGGACCTGGTCTTAGTGAGGTGGGGGTCTAAGCTGGTGGAGGCCTTAGGGGCGGTGCCTGTGCGAGACAGGGCCCATTTGGGCGTGGCCTGAGCAGGGTGGGGCCTGATTGAAGTGTGCCGCGGCTTAGACGGGGCGGAGCCTCGGGAGGCAGATTTTGAGCAGGTCAGGGGCTGTCACCGGGGTCCCTCCTTTGCAGGACGAGCCCACCACAGGCATGGACCCAAGTGCACGGCGGTTTCTGTGGAACAGCTTGCTGTCGGTGGTGCGCGAGGGCCGCTCCGTGGTGCTCACCTCGCACAGGTGAGCACCATACTACTCTCTGGCCCCCTTGCAGGCTGGGGCGACCCTGACCCTGGTGAGGTGCCTAGGGTGAGAGCGCTCCAGGGATGGGAGAGAGCCTGGCCCCCGAGCAGGCTGGCTGGGCCCGGCTGCGCTCACACTGCCGCTCGCCCACAGCATGGAGGAGTGCGAAGCGCTCTGCACGCGCCTGGCCGTCATGGTGAACGGGCGGTTCCGATGTCTGGGAAGCGCCCAGCATCTCAAAGGCCGGTGAGCAGCAGCGCGTGACCGGCAGGCTCCTGGGCCTGACCTGCGTCGTCGGGGAGGCGGGGACCGGAGGGATGCAGGATCTGATGGATGCGCCGAGGCGGTGGGTGGGGCTAGAAGGGCTAATCAGGTATGTGGAGGTGGAGCCTGAAGAGCTGGGTGTGGACACTGGCGAGCTGGAAAAGACTTGGTGAGTAGGAAGAGTTTGCGTGGGTCCTGGAGGGTGGGCGGGTAGGGTTAGCGTGCATGGGCGGGGCCACGCGAGGGGCGGAGCCAGAAAGCGTTGGCGTGAATTATAGGGTGTGGGCGGGGTTATGTTGTATATGGGCGTGGTTACGGTATAAAAGGCGGAGCCACACGGATGAAGTAATGTGTCATTTGTAGGCATGAAACTCTGGAGGGTTTAAGGGTGGCGTGGGATGTGGGCGGAGTTAGAGCGTATGTTGGCAGGGCTTAGGCCACGAGGGGCGGGACCACCACGGGGATATGGGAAGGTTCATTTGCAGGGGTGGCAGGGGTGCGACCAAAGGGCGGGGCTAGATGCAAGGGGCAGGGCCACATGGTGCTTGCTAGGGGCGGAGCCAGACCTTATAAGGGGAGCCTGGGAAGGTGCGTGTGTTCATAGGAGGGCTTTCTGGACGGGGTCCAGGGTAGGTGAGGGGCGTCTGTCCTGACAGGTGTGTCAGGTCCTCTGAGTGGGCGTGGCCTCGGGGTCATGGTGGTGGCTCCCAAGCAGAGTAGGGTGAGCAGGAGGGCCGTGGCCTGCATCCCTGGCCCTGTCCCCTCCAGGTTCGGGGCTGGCCACACACTGACCCTCAGGGTCCCACCGGCTCAGCCCGAACCGGCGATAACCTTCATCATGGCCACCTTCCCGGGTGCTGAGCTCCGGGAGGTGCATGGCAGCCGCCTGCGATTCCAGCTGCCACTCGGGGGCAGCTGCACCTTGGCACGCGTGTTCCGCGAGCTGGCCGCGCAAGGCAAGGACCACGGCGTGGAGGACTTCTCCGTTAGCCAGACCACGCTGGAGGAGGTGACGTCGGGAACCATAACAGGGCCTGAAGGGAAGAGCTGAGGACCTCCCGACCCTGGGCTGACATCTCCCTCCCATGCCTTTCTGTCTCCTCCATGTCACCCTGTCAGGTGTTCCTGTATTTCTCCAAAGACCAAGGGGAAGAGGAGAAGGGCAGCCAGCGGGACATTGGAGCTGGGGAGGTTTCCACACCGGGCCGGCAGCACCCTAAACGTATCAGCCGATTTCTGGAAGACCCCAGCTCTGTGGAGACCATGCTCTGAGCACGCCTGCCTTGGGCCCTGGAAGAAATAAAGAGAGACAAGAAGAGCGAGGCATCAGCCGTGTGTTTATGTTTTGGGAGCCCTGGCTCCTACCGAGTCTCACACACTGTCGCACGTACAGTGTGTGCCTGTGTCTGTGGTCGCAGAGGTGATGGCCCCTGTGACAGTTACAGCCACCTGGACCCCAGGCGGTGTGGGGCGAGCCTAGGCGTGAGATGTGGGCACGCCCAGGCCTCTCATCACATGTACCCTGACCTGCATATACCTGTGTGGGTCTGGCACCAGAGGGCGGGACTTGTGAGTGTTTCTGACCATGAAGTAGAGATGAGGTCAGGCTTGGGGAATGTCCCAGACGGCTTAGAGGACCCTGGAGCCCACCCCAGAGCCAGCCAGCCCTCGTCCTGAGACAACTTCCACCCCACCCCAGCCATCCGACTATGAGTGGGGGAAGGCATGGGACCCTTAAGGGGCTCCTCGGCTGGGTTTGTGGTTGGACCAGAGCTTGGAGAGCGGGACTGGGCACCGCGGGCTGCGGACTTCCTGGGCTGTGTCCTGGAGAGCCGTCCCGTGTGGCTGAGGTCGGTGAGGTTCTAGATAGTTAACGGATGGGGTGTCTAAATTAGATGGGACCTCTGGGGCTCATGCCATGAGGCTCAGAGCTGGGATGTGGCAGGCTGGGTGGGAACAGGAGCCAAGTGGAGGCCAGCAGGGCAGTGAGGCTTCCGGGTGGCAGGATGGGAGAGTTAGAAGCCACTCGGTTCACCTTCCTGCCCTGTTGTCCCCGGCAGACTGTAGGGCAGGTGATCATAGGAAGTGGGGGGTCACCTGCGGGTGGTGTCCGCTGGGTCTGCGTGTGGGCCTCCACTCCTCCACCTTCTCGTCTGTGTCCCTGTGTGTCACTATTCGGATGACAGCATCTGGGAGAGTATGTCCCAGCCATGGTCAGCTAGGGCCCGAGTCAGGTGGTCACATCCCCAGGAAGCGAACTACAAGGGGAAGGTGGCCGCTGTGGGGAACCTGTGTCAGAGCTGGTGTGCAGAGTCCCATAAGGACTGACGCCGGCCAGGACAGTCACACTGGGGGCGGGTCTATGGCGTCGCCTCCCTCCCTCCCTCCGCTGGGGGCCTTTTCCTGTGTTGGGGACTTGCCCGCCAATGAGGGCCAGGCCCATCACGTGGGTCTGACAGCTGGGGAGGGGGTGGCCCTGAGCAATGTGGTCCAGAGACAATCAGCACCAGGAGCTGCCGGGCTGAGACCCCCCCAGGGCTGCTGTCCACACCTGGGGCCACCAGGACTGGCTCCACCATGTTCTCTAGGAAGAAACGAGAACTTATGAAAACCCCCTCTATTTCCAAAAAGAACCGCGCGGGGAGCCCCAACCCGCAGTCTTCCTCAGGGGTGAGTGGAGCACAGAGCGGGCGGGGACCCAGGATGACACCCACAGCCTGTGGCCACTGCTGGGCACAGGGCGCGGCTACGGCACCATGCTGGGCCCATGGTGGGGAGCCCGCACCAGCTACAGTCCCCAACAGGCAGGATGGCAGGCGGCGGCACAGAGAGGCCTGAACCCGGGAACCCGCTTTACGGTAGGGGCGGCCTTGGGTGGCCAGCAAGTCACCCATCTTTACCAGGGACGACCACCACGTCCCTGTCATGTGCCGAGGACTAATGGGGGTTCTGGTCAGTGGGGAGAGCCGCAGTGACAGGTTCGAGACTCTGTAACTTAAGGTTCTGGAAGCCAAAGGGAAGATGGGTGTGGTGGGGTGCCTGTGTGCAGGGCAGACTTGGGGGGTCTCTGAGTTTCCTCAGGACCTTGAGGTGCCTGCTGAGTTTCTGGGTGTCTGTGAACGTTAGGGGTATCTCTACCAGGTCTGGGGGAGTGCTGGGGCCCAGGAGCCTGATGCTCTCAGGTCTCAGGAGTTACCCATTTTCTGGAAAGCGGACACCCATGGAGGAGTCTGGGGGTGGCTAGGAGGCAGGAGACCCACGAGGGCCCTCCCCACCCCCACCAGGAAGTGGGGTGCCCCCTCCCTCCTGTGCCTCCGCAGGCCCCGCCCCAGGCTGTGGTTTGGGTAAGGACGGTTGTTTGTGAAAGCTGAAGAGGAGGATGTTGGGTAACAGGTGTGTGTGTGTGGGGGGGGGCTTCAAAATCTCTGCCCTTTGACTTCTGGCCCCCATGAGTAAGTTCTGGGGAAACTGAGGCAGCGTTTAGGGTGAAGGATCCCCCTTGATTCTTCTCCCCTCTACCCTCCCAGGAGCTGCCCAGGAAGGAATGTACAGAGGCTCCAGGCCCGGAGCCATCAGCCGCGTCCCTGTCCGCGGGCACCAAGGCCACAGGCACACTCAAAAGACCCACCAGCCTGAGCCGTCATGCCAGTGCCGCCGGCTTCCCGCTCTCAGGGGCTGCCACCTGGACCCTGGGCAGGGGCTACCGAAGCCCCCTGTCCGCTGCCAGCCCTGCAGAGCTCCCCGGTGAGGGACCCTTCCCTGAGGGCGTAGAAGACATCTCAACCCTGTTGGCTGACGTGGCCCGCTTTGCTGAGGGCTTGGAGAAACTCAAGGAGTTTGTGCTGCGAGATGGTGAGAGTCCCTGACTGGGGAGAGGCAAGCCTTTCATCCCGGCACTTAGGCAGGGGGATCTCTATGAGTTCCAGGGCAGCCAGAATTACACAGTGAGACCCTGCCTCAAAAAGAAAAGAAAAATAAGAACAATAAAAAGAAGAAAATGAAAAAGAAAGAAAAGAAAAAGGGAAGGGAGGGACTCGAGGAGGCTTCAAATAGGACGCAAAGAAGTGCGTGTACCAGCTAGGGTTCTGAGGGATGTGTAGGAGTTGGATGACATTCCCTGACCTACAGGACTGTCTTAGGCATTTGCTCAGAAACCTAGAAATGGAGATTGTATCTAAGGAGCGTGTGTGGGGACCGATGGCTGCAGGAGCTGAAGGACCCTGGGTGCAGTGCTGTGGGTACCGGGTACTCGGAGGTGTTAAGGCAGAGGACGACGCATGGGGAGGCGCCGGGAGGGAGTGGCCTGAGGCATATCGGTTCCGTTTTCTCCTGCACGCGGTTGCTGACGGCTCCGTTTCCTCCAGAGTTATTTTCTCCCCCTTCCTGTTTGTCTCCGGCGGCCCAGAGAGGTGGGTCGGGCACCAGCCCCCGCCCCACGGGCTGCTCCCCGGAAACCACATGTAAGCGCTCTGCCCAGCGCTGAACCCCACTCCCCCTCAGGCTCCCCACCCCACAGACGCAGGGAGACCGAGGCCTGGGCCCGCCGCACCCAGGGGCCTTTGCAGGCCGGCTCCCAGGAGAGGATGGGAGCCCCCGGGGTTATCTGCTGTCCGGGGCGGAGGCTGAGTCTGCTTTTCTGGGGAAGCCCTAATCTCCCGGCCTTTCCGTACCCAAGCATCCTTGGATGCTGGCCCGGGCGCGCGGGATCGCCGGGTGCACCAGCCTGGGGGGCTGGGTTTCTCTAAACGGGACTGGAACGCAGTCCCAGGACAGTCAAGGTGCATTTGAGACAGCGGCTGGGGGGTGGACACAGGCCCCCGCAAGGCCCTTTCTCTGGAGCCTTCTCCTGCCCTGGACTTGCAACTCTGAGCTCAGTTTGGTTTCCCGGCACACCCCACACTCATTCCCAGTCAAATTCCTGCTCTGTGGTTAGAGCACAGCCCTTGTGTGAGCCTATGGAGGTAAAGGAGGTGGGGTTGTTCTCAGAGAGAGAGAGGCGGGGCCTGAGGACCGGCCTGAGCCGGTTTGGCTGCTGGCCATCGCTCTAAGGACCCCCAGACGCTCAGGACTCGGGTCTCCGGGCCACACGCTAGCGTCCGCCCCGCCCGCCCTGCATCCCTGAGCCATGTGTGTCTGTGGGACGCTGCACCCCGCGCTGGACCACGGCCCCCAGCGCTGCCAGACGGGGCCCCCAGGTGAGAGGACCGTGCCAAGGCGTGGGTCCCCCACCCAGCACCAGGACCGCGCACACGTGCGTGCCCAGGGACTTTGCACAGCCCCCAGGGGTGCCCAGGGACTCTGCACTCCTCTGGGCTGCATCTCAGGTATTACCTTCCTTGGAAGAAGGCCCGTGCGTGGAGCTGCAGGGGCCCTGGCGACCCTAAGGGGTGCGTGCCTGCCTGGAATGCCCCGGGAGGGGCGCGGCTTCCCAGCCAGCGTCCTGGGATTCCTGGAGCCAAGTCCGCCTCCCGGACGCGGGCTCCGACTCCAGCCACAAAAATGTGGAGGGAATCGCTCCCGGGGTGGCATTCCGCGGGACCCGGGTGCCTGCAGAGGGCCAGGGAGCGTTCTCGGATTCCGTCTGGAGGGTCTCCGGACCGCAGTGACCTGTCATCTTGCCCTCACTGTGAGGCGGAAAAAATGAACAGGCAAAAGCTCCACCCTCCGCTTTTGGACATTTGGGGATGGAGGCTAAAGGGCCGTGGTGTGACGGGCCTGTCATCGCAGCCTCCCGGAGGCAGAGGAGTTTGAGGCCCGCGGGTCTGGGCTGCACAGGAAGACATTGTTAATGTCTTGTTCATCAGATAGGACGACATCCTCTCGGCTGCCTGCTGCTCGAAGGTGGACTGCCAGGCAGGGTCCTTCCAGGGCTGTTGAACAGGGAAAGCTGTGCGACCATTTGCAAAGGGCTTTTGCTCTTTATTTGTTTTTGTTGCTGTTTTTGGTTTTTTGAGACGGATTTTCTCTGTGTAGCCCTGGCTGCCCTGGATCTCGCTCTGTAGCCCAGGCTGGCCTCGAACTCACAGAGATCTTTCTGCCTCTGCCTCCCAAGTGCTGGGTGCCTCGCTAGCCGCCATCCACATCTGCAGAAAGAATGGGGAGGTGACGTCCTCTCCCCGCTGGTATAACGCCAGGAGGGAGAGGAATTAACAGAGTTGCTTGGGGGAAACCGTCTCTCCCTTCACCTCTGCCTCAGTTTCCCATCTCACCTCTGGGAAGCCCGGAACCAGTCCTTCTCACCCACGCTCACTCTGCCCCGCAGACCTCCTTGAAGCCCGGCGGCCGCTGGCCCATGAGTGTCTGGGTGAAGCCCTGCGCGTGATGCGCCAGGTCATCTCCAAATACCCGCTCCTGAACACCGTGGAGACGCTCACAGCTGCCGGCACGCTCATTGCCAAGGTCAAAGGTCAGCCAGGGAGGTGCACTCTGGGAGGGCTTCCCCGAAGCGGGGGCTGTCTGTAGTGGGGTTCTGAAGGATACATAGGAATTTGACACACACACTCCCACCTCCTCTCTGCCCCTCAGCCTTTCATTATGAGTGTAACAATGAATCAGATAAGAGGGACTTTGAGAAGGCTCTGGAGACCATTGCTGTGTCCTTCAGCTGCACGTGAGCTCCGGGGCCTGTGGGGGCAGAGTGGGGTCGGGGAGTATGGCTCGTGGACCTCTGGAATGACCCCCCCCCGCCCCCTGCCCTGCAGCGTCTCTGAGTTCCTTTTGGGTGAAGTGGATAGCAGTACCCTTCTGGCCGTGCCCCCCGGGGACCCCAGCCAGGTGAGCAGAGGGCAGCCCACATCTGTCTGGGTCCCCGTGTCTGTGGGAGGGAATGGCCATCTCCACAGGGTAGGCCCCTGGCCCCGGCTGTACCGCCCGAGAGTTCGGGGAAAAAACAAGCCTTCTTGGCTCTACCTCGCGGGCCATGGGGAGCCATAGAGGGTGTTAGAGCGAACGGGGCAGAGGTGTGTCCTGGAACGGGGCGTCCTTCCTCTTACAGTCCATGGAGAACCTTTACGGACCCAGCAGCGAGGGGCCCCCGCCCAGTGTGGAGGAATGTGAGGAGGGTGAGTGCCTCTGGGTGTGGGCCTGGGAGACAGGAGAGGGGAGGGGAGGGGAGGTGGCCGTCAGGACTGAGCACTGGCCCCCACAGGCTGCCTGCCCCCTGAGGAGGTGGACATGCTTCTCCAGCGCTGTGAGGGGGGCGTGGACGCTGCCCTGCAGTACGCCAAAGACATGGCCAAGTACATGAAGGACCTCATCAGCTATCTGGACAAGCGGACCACTCTGGGTGAGGGGCGAGGAGACCCCAGGACGGGGTGTGGGGCGGGGGGGAGGGGGGGGAGGCCATTGCTGAAGCCTCACTCTGCATCCCCCCCCCCCCCCCGTAGAGATGGAATTCGCCAAAGGTCTACAGAAGGTTGTTCACAGCTGCAGACAGAGCGTCACCCATGAGGTGGGTTGGGCCAAACAGGTGGGGAGGGATATCTGCAGGATGCGTAGGAGTTCGTGGGCCTGGCTGCTCCCTCCTGCTCCTTAAAGGACTTCTGTTGGATGGCATGCCTGGCTGGTGCCCAGAGTGGCTGCAGAAAGCGAGGGCTCGGGGTGCTGGGAGCGCCTCGGTCCCCATCATTGTGACCCGCCGTCTTGCCCCACAGCCCCACATGCCCCTCTTGTCCATCTACTCACTGGCCCTGGAACAAGATCTGGAGTTTGGTCACGGCATGGTGCAGGCGGTGGGCACACTGCAGACCCAGACCTTCATGCAGGTGAGCTGTGCCCGAGGTGAGGTGGGCGGGGATGTCACCCGCCGGCTCAGCACTCACGGTTCTGTCTCGCTTAGCCCCTGACCCTGCGGCGGTTGGAGCATGAGAGGCGCAGGAAGGAGATCAAAGAATCCTGGCACCGGGCGCAGAGGAAGCTGGTAGGGGCGCGTCTGCAACCAGCACACCCCGCTACAGTGCATGTTCCCTGTGCTTGCAAGGAACTGTCGCTCCTCAGAGTCCCACAGCTCAGCAGGGGGTCCCCAAGAGTCCTGTGCGTTCTTGTCAGCTGTTCAGAAATGGGGAGAGAAACTGAGGCACAGTCTCAGCCCCAGTGCACACTCCATGTTCGAGCACACTGGTCGCATTTTTCTTTGGGGCCATTTAAAGGCACGGGGTGTTCTGGGGTAGATGGCTCGGTGGGGAAAGTACCTGTCAGGAAAACGTGGGGACCCCATGTGGCCAGTACCCACATCAAAGCCAGGCATGGCCGTGCACATCCGTAACCCCAGCACGGGGGATGGGTGGATCCCGGGGCTCTCTAGCTGGATAGCCTAACTGAATCCGGGTTCAGTGAGAGGCCTCGCCTCAAAATACAAGGTGGGGGATAGGCGTGGCGGCACACACTCTTAATCCAAGCACTTGGGAGGCAGAGGCAGGAGGATCTCTGTGAGTCCTGGTTCAGCCAGGGCTGCACAGTGTGACCCCGTCTCAAAAACAAAAGAAAATGACAAGGTGGAGAGGAAGGTCCCACCCCCCGGGACCTCTGGCTTCCGTAGGCATGTGAACACAGACACACAGAGGTGGCCTCTGGCCTCTGGGCTCCTCCATCACTGGAGTTGGGGGTGTGCATCCTTCTGTCCGCCCCCAGTGACAGCCCCCTTCTCAGTTTCTGTGAATCCTCTCTGTTCATATCCTTTGTTCAAAATGGATCAGTCAGCGCTCGTTACTGACTTCCCAGAGCTCTACACATATCTCAGAACAGAAACTGCAGTACTGTTGGGAGTCCATTATCATTTGATAGTTCCATTTTAGCAATTTGACTTTCTTTTTTTTCTTTTTCTTTTTTTGTTTTTTTGAGACAGGTTCTCTCTGTGTAGTCCTGGCTGTCCTGGATCTCGCTCTGTAGACCAGGCTGGCCTCGAACTCACAGAGATCCTCCTGCCTCTGCCTCCCGAGTGCTGGGATTAAAGGCGTGCGCCACCACCGCCACCAGCACCGGCGGGCTGGGCCCCTCACCCTGGTGACAAATGCCTTTACCTGTTCAGCCAGTGGTTCTCAGCCTTCCTAATACAGCAGTTGCTCATGCTGTGGTGACCCACAACCAGAAAGTATGTCCGTTGCTACCTCATCACTGTAATTCTGCTGCTGTTATGAATCCTAATGTCAATATCTGACATGCAACCCCTGGAAAGGGCCATGCCACCCTTGAAGAGGTCGCGGCCCACAGGTTGAGAAACTCTGAATGAAGCCGTCTCCTGAGCTCCTTGCTTTGCTATGAGGTTTTTCTTTTGTTTGGTTTTTCGAGACAGGGTTTCTCTGTGTAGCCCCGGCTGTCCTGGATCTCACTCTAGATCAGGTTAGCCTCAAACTCAGAGATGCTCCTGCCTCTGCCTCCAGAGAGCTGGGATTAAAGGTGTGCGCCACCACACCCAGTTTGAGGTTTATAACCCAGGCTGAGATCTCCCTCTGAGACGCTGGAGTCCCTGGAGCCCCTGGCCTTCATGTTTAGGTTTCTGTCTTTCAGGCTGTGGGGTGCGGGCTCCCCTCAACCCAGACATGTTAGTTTGTGACTCAGTGCTTCCGGCTAGCGCAGGGTGCTTAGCTTCCTGCCTGGGCGGCTCTGTTTTCATCTGTAAGAAAGGAAGTGAAACCTTGTCAGACGTGGCATGGGGAGCAGGGAGATGACTCAGTTTGTGTTTCTGTTCAGCTCCGAGTCGTGCCTCGGTTTCTCTGTGCGACCCCCATTGCACATGCTCCCAAGTGTCTCCTGTCAAGGGCCCCTGCTGGCTGGATGGGAGTGTGGGGTCCCTGCTGGTGAGGAGGGACGGAAGGAGGCCCAGGCTGCAGCCTCTCTCTTCTCTTGCAGCAAGAGGCAGAGGCCAACCTGCGCAAGGCCAAGCAGGGCTACAAACAGCGCTGTGAAGACCACGACAAGGCCCGGCTGCAGGTGGCCAAAGCCGAGGAGGAGCAACAGGGCACGGGGCCCGGGGCGGGCACGGCAGCCTCCAAGGCCCTGGACAAGAGGCGGCGGCTGGAGGAGGAGGCCAAAAACAAGGTGCATGAGCAGGAGGGGCCTCCAGGGGCCGTGCGCAGCCGCCACCTCCAGGCCCGTCCTTCCCAGCACCTGTGCCAGCTCCTCTTACTACTTCTTCATTCCTTTAACTGTACTGAGAAGGGACCTCTGGGTCTGCCCACCCCTGGCCACGCCCCCAGCCCCTCTCTGGGGGATTCTGGGCGGGGCTCCACCCTGACCACGCCCCCAGCCCCTCACTGGGGGATTCTAGGCGGGGCTCCACCCTGACCACGCCCCCAGCCCCCTCACTGGGGATTCTAGGCGGGGCTCCACCCTGACCACGCCCCCAGCCCCTCACTGGGGGATTCTAGGCGGGGCTCCACCCTGACCACGCCCCCAGCCCCCTCACTGGGGATTCTAGGCGGGGCTCCACCCTGACCACGCCCCCAGCCCCCTCACTGGGGATTCTAGGCGGGGCTCCACCCTGACCACGCCCCCAGCCCCTCACTGGGGGATTCTAGGCGGGGCTCCACCCTGACCACGCCCCCAACCCCTCACTGGGGATTCTAGGCGGGGCTCCACCCTGACCACACCCCCAGTCCCTCACTGGGGGATTCTGGGCGGGGCTCCACCCTGACCACGCCCCCAGCCCCCTCACTGGGGATTCCAGGCGGGGCTCCACCCTGACCACGCCCCCAGCCCTCACTGGGGGGATTCTGGGCGGGGCTCCATCCTGACCACGCCCCCAGCCCTCACTGGGGGATTCTGGGCGGGGCTCCATCCTGACCACGCCCCCAGCCCCTCACTGGGGGATTCTGGGCGGGGCTCCACCCTGACCACGCCCCCAGCCCTCACTGGGGGATTCTGGGCGGGGCTCCACCCGTGGGCTACAACCTTGGTCCTCTTAGTTTGTCTAGAGATAGCCTAAGTTTCCCAGGCTGTCCCTCGGCCTCCTCCTCACTGTGGTGACCGTTCTGCCCACTGTGCGGGCCTCCCCCCATGTCTGTGTCAAATCCCTCACTGACCCCCTCCCCCAGGCCGAGGAGGCAATGGCCACTTACCGCACGTGCGTGGCGGACGCCAAGACCCAGAAGCAGGAGCTGGAGGACACGAAGGTGACGGCGCTGCGGCAGATCCAGGAGGTCATCAGGCAGAGTGATCAGACCATAAAGTCGGTGTGTGACGGGCGCTGGGTGGGAGGAGGTGATTCCAGTGGGGTGGAGCAGTGGGCGGGTTGTCTAGTCTGTTCCAAGCAGGAGAGTACGGCAGGGTCCCAGAAAGGTCGGGCGGTCATGGGACAGTGTCCCGGGCCTGAAGGCCAAGGCGAGCGGTGGGACTTGGAGGGGTGGGGCGGGGCCGTGGGCAGCGTGCAGGGGGCCGGCCTGAGAGTTAGTCCGTTAGGGGTCGGAGGGTGTGGGCTTTGTGAGCGGCCGGGCGTGAACCCGGGACAGGAGGAGGGTCCGCTTGGTGCCATAAAGCTGTTGGGACAGGGGCCTGGGCGGTGGGAGGGGCTTGTTGGTGTGGGGCGTGGCCAGGGGCGTGGCCCCGCCTCTGACTGGCACACGCCCCCGCAGGCCACCATCTCCTACTACCAGCTGATGCACATGCAGACAGCTCCGCTGCCTGTGCACTTCCAGATGCTGTGCGAGAGCAGCAAGCTGTACGACCCGGGCCAACAGTATGCGTCGCACGTGCGTCAGCTGCAGCGAGGCGAGGAGCCCGACGTGCGCTACGACTTCGAGCCTCACGTCTCCGCCAACGCCTGGTACCTCGCGTCTCCACGACGCTGGGTGCAGCCGCACACACGTGCGGCGGGTGTGGGGGGGCGGTGGGGGGCGGGGGTCCCCTTACACCTGTCTCCCGCCAGGTCCCCAGTCATGCGCACACGGAAAGGCAGCTTCAACCCTGGGGACGCCGCAGGACCTGAAGCTGCGGGCAGCGCCCCCGAGGAAGGCGGCACCCCCGAGGGCGCTCCCGGCAAGGACCACAGGGGTGAGTGTGCGCAGGTGCACAGGGCGGGCGCTGCACTCCGACGCCCCTGCTTCCCGCTGGGGAGGCACTCTTGGCTCACCCCTCTCTCTCCTCCTGCAGGTGGACGTGGTCACCAGGTACACAAGTCCTGGCCCATCTCCATCTCGGACACCGAAGTTGGCCTGGACACCGGCTCAGGTGAAGGAGCACCTGGGTGCATGTCACACAGGGGAGTCCCTGGCCTGGACGGCCTGGCTCCAGTGCCTAACGCCCTGTTTCCCATGTAGGGGACTTCAAGAAGTTCGATCGAACGTCGTCCAGTGGGACCATGTCATCCAGTGAGGAGCTGGTAGATCAGGAAGCCGGCCTGGTGGCCTCAGCCTTTGACTCGGGTGAGCGGCTCCCAAAGGGACCAGACCAGTGGGTGGAGTGTGAACAGATCTGTCCCGCTGGCCTCTTCCTGCGTCAGTGACGCTGGCTTTTCATCCTGTCCACAGCCGACCTCAATGGCATGGACCCCGAGCTACCTGTGGCCATGCCCAGCGGACCCTTCCGCCACGTGGGACTGTCCAAGGCGGCTCGCACACACCGACTTCGGAAGCTACGCACGCCGGCCAAGTGCAGAGAATGTAACAGCTACGTGTACTTCCAGGGCGCTGAGTGTGAGGAGGTGTGTGCAGACCCAGAGCCCCGCGCCCGGGTGTCAAAAGGGTGGTTAGCGTGGGGAGGGCGGGGGGATGACCCGGGAGAGCGCTGGGCTCCGTCATCCGGCTCTTGGGAGGCAGAGGCAGTGAGATGAGTTCAAGGTCATCCTTGGCTATATAACAAGTCTGAAGCCAGCCTGGGCTAGATGGGACCCTGTCTCAGAAAGATCAGAAGTGCCGGGCGGTGGTGGCGCACGCCTTTAATCCCAGCGCTCGGGAGGCAGAGCCAGGAGGATCTCTGTGAGTTTGAGGACAGCCAAGGACAGCTAAGGCTATGCAGAAAAATCCTGTCTAATGCAAAGGCCCTAGGATTATGGCGGTGGGGTCTGGCTCACCTGGGCACCTGGAGGATTATGGCCGTGGGGTCTGGTCCTCACGTGGGCGTCTGGAGGATTATGATGGTGGGGTCTGACTCACGTGGGCGTCTGGAGGATAATAGTGGTGGGGTCTGGTTCTCACGTGGGCACCTGGAGGATTATGGCCGTGGGGTCTGGTCCTCACGTGGGCGTCTGGAGGATTATGTCGGTGGGGTCTGACTCACGTGGGCGTCTGGAGGATTATGGCCGTGGGGTCTGACTCACGTGGGCGTCTGGAGGATTATGGCCGTGGGGTCTGGTCCTCACGTGGGCACCTGGAGGATTATGGTGCTGGGGTCTGGCTCACGTGGGCGTCTGGAAGAGTCACGTTCGGCTCTCCTTCAGTGCTGCCTGGCTTGCCACAAAAAGTGCCTGGAGACTCTGGCCATCCAGTGTGGCCACAAGAAGCTCCAGGGCCGCCTGCAGCTGTTCGGACAGGACTTCACCCACGCAGCCCGCGGCACCCCGGACGGCGTGCCCTTCATTATCAAAAAGTGCGTCTGCGAGATTGAGCGGCGGGCGCTGCACACCAAGGTGAGGCCCTGGCACAGGAGGGGTCCGTGGGGCCCCGGGAGGGCAGGAAGCGGGTGCAAGGGCAGACGTGAGGGTGACTGCCGGCTCCCCAGGGCATCTACCGGGTCAACGGCGTGAAGACGCGCGTGGAGAAGCTGTGCCAGGCCTTTGAGAATGGCAAAGAGCTGGTGGAGTTGTCGCAGGCCTCGCCCCACGACATCAGCAACGTCCTAAAGCTGTACCTGCGGCAGGTGAGGGAAAGGACAGACCGGGATGTGCGGCCTGTGGAGGGGCGTGGCCAGGGCGGAGCGTGGGCGGGGCCTCGACGCGGGGGATAGTCGGGGGCTGCGGGGGATGGGCCCCTAGTGTGAGTTTGGGTGGGGGTTGGGGGTGTATGGGGAGGGGTTGGGTGGTATTGCAGGTGAGAGAGGGTCACAGTCTATACTAATAGGCGTGGCAAAGCTGGGTGGGCGTGGCTATGGGAGGCAAACATCTGGGGCGGGGCTAAAACCGGGTGGGCGTGGCTACGTGCCTTCACCGGCCACTGGGGGAAGCCGGTAGAGAAGGTCTGAGGATGGGGTGGGCTGACACGCCGTGGGTAGGCCCCTGGCATCGTGGGCGTGGTCTGAGCAGGCGGGCGTGGCTAGAGGTGGGTGGGCGTGGAGTGGCAGGTACGGGGATGGGCGGAGCTAGGCAGTGTAGTGGGAGGGATCTTGGCGTGTGGGCGTGGCCCGGGCTGATGGACAGGCCTTGGCGGGTCTGAGGCGGGACTGCCGCGAATCCTCAGGGCTGTGGCTGTGAGCCCCGCGTTCTGCGGCCCGGCCAGGCCCGTGACCTCTGTCTGGTGTGTCGTCCTGCAGCTGCCGGAGCCCCTCATCTCTTTTCGCTTTTACCATGAGCTGGTGGGGCTCGCCAAGGACAGCATCAAGGCCGAGGCCGAGGCCAAGGCAGCGAGCCGGGGCCGGCAGGACGGGTCCGAGAGTGAGGCTGCGACCGTGGCCATGGTGGGCCGCCTGCGTGAGCTCATGCGGGACCTGCCCGCGGAAAACCGGGCCACACTCTTGTACCTGCTGAGGCACCTGCGAAGGTGAGCGTCCCTGGCGGGGGGCAGCGCTGTGTGGGAGCCCTGCAGCCCCCCACTCACGCACACCCCTCTCCGGCTGCTCCCCACCCCAGGATCGTGGAAGTGGAGCAGGACAATAAGATGACCCCTGGGAACCTGGGCATCGTCTTCGGACCCACGCTGCTGCGGCCGCGGCCCACCGCGGCCACCGTGTCCCTCTCCTCCCTGGTAGACTACCCGCACCAGGCCCGCGTCATTGAGACTCTGATCGTCCACTATGGCCTGATCTTTGAGGAGGAGCCAGAGGAGGCACCTGGCGGCCAGGTAAAGAAGGATTGGTGGTGTGGGAGTGCTGCTGGGGCTCTGGGTAGTGAGTGACACACAAAAATGATCGGAGGGTTCTGGGTACAGCTCAACAGCAGAGCGCTGGCCTAGCATACAGGAAGCCCTGGGTTCCATCCCCAGCACCAATAAGCCAGGTTGCTGTGTGGGCCTCTCATCCCAGCACTCAGGTGGAGGAAGGACAAGGAGTTCAAGGCCATCCTCAGCTACAGAGGATGAAGCTAGCCCGGGCTACATGAGAACCTTATGTACCTGTATCCAAAAAAACCAAAATCATCTTTAATCCCAGCACTGGGGAGGCAGAGGCAGGAGGATCTCTGTGAGTTCGAGGCCAGCCTGGTCTACAGAGCGAGATCCAGGACAGGCACCAAAACTACACCGAGAAACCCTGTCTCGGTGGGAAAAAAAAAATTAAAAGTTACCAAGGTGAAGGGGCTGGAGATGAACAGCATCAGCAATTAGCACCGGCCGCTCTTGCGGAGGACCTGGGTTCTGTTCTCAGCACTCACGAGGCGGTTCACAATTGTCTGCAAGTCCAGTTTGGGAGATCTGATGCCCTCTTCTGGCCCCGGAGGAGCACCAGCCATTCACGCAGGCACACAAATACCTACATGTATGCGCGGGCAAAACACCCAGACACATAAAATAAGGATTAAATAAATAAGAAAATGTACAAGGTGGAAATGGGGTTGGGTTATGCTGGAGCCAGCCCACCCCTAACACTTTCTTACTATGCAGGAGGGGGCCTCCACCCACTGTGCCCAGCTGGAGGCCACTGAGGGCCTTGTCTTCCCCCTGCAGGAGGTGGAGGATGGAGGCCGAGGTGAGTGGTGGCCGAGGGACAGCTCAGGCCCTGTCACTGTGGTGATGCACTGTCCGCATAAACTGACTTTTCCTTTGCTGTGTTGGTGGCTGCCTACCCCAGGGAGGGGACAGAGGGCGGAGGGCCTGTGAGTGTCTGCAGACCCACTGCAGGGACCCCAGGGAGGGGACAGAGGGCGGAGGGCCTGTGAGTGTCTGCAGACCCACTGCAGGGACCCCAGGGAGGGGACAGAGGGTGGAGGGCCTGTGAGTGTTGGAGTCCGAGGTGGCTGAGCCTTGGTCACAGGACGAGTTTTTCTGTCTTTTGTTTTTTGTCTGTCTCTGGTTTTGCCTTCACCTCCCGCACCCCCTCTCCTCATCCCCTTCTCTCGGCCACAGAATCCCGAGTGGCATCCAATGACTCAGACTCGGAGTTGGAAGAGGCCTCTGATCCCCTGTCGTCCTCCGACGCCAGCGCCCTGCACCGCCTCAGTTTCCTGGAGCAGCCCGAGGCCGAGGCAGGTCTAGAGGAAGGTCCCCAAAGCCGCAGCGGCAGTGAGGAGCAGCTGGAGGGTGAGGATGGAGAGCCGGGCCAACAGCTGTACGCCTTCAACACCAACCAGTCCAACAACACCGCCCGGGCCCCTCTGCCCGCCATGCGGCTGCGAGGGGGCCAGATCACATGTCACACCAGTGGGGACCGCCGGCCACAGTTCGTCTGAGCTGGGTAGTGATGGTGGGGACTGTCAGCCCACTGCCAACCACTGTAAGGGTCACTAACGGCCCTTGACTTGCGGGGGTTGGCTTCCCACAACACCAAGAAACTTCAGGGAGCTCAGGGGCCCTGGCACTGTGGGGTGTGGCCCGACTCAGCTGGACATTGGTCCCGGATGGAGTTGCCTGACTTCCGTGCGCCTGTGCCGATGCAGCAGCTGGATTCGCATGGTACCCTCATCTCTCCTGTGGTCCCCATCAGCCCGGGGTGCAAGCCACACCCTTCTCTGGATGTGTCTGGATGGGAGCACCATCAGGGTTAGAGGCCTTTCAGGATGCTGTGAGTGCAGGCCTGGCTTCTGTGTGCGGAGCTGGGGTGGCTCTGGTGTCAGGATTCCTGCAGAACGCTGCGCATGCGCATGGATAGATGGGAGTGGGGTACACAGCGCACCTCTCCCAAGGTGCAGTGGACAAGTTTTTCACATGCACCCCATTTTGCTTGAAATAAACTTCTTAATCTCCTGAGCTCTCCAAGAACTCACTCTGTAGCCCAGGCTGGCCTTGAACTCACAGGGATCCGCCTGCTTCTGCCTCCCGAGTGCTGGGATTAAAGGCGTGCGCCACCGCACCAGGCTGTGCGATTTAGTGTTGTAAGATTTATTTTATGAGTTGGGTGTTTTGTTTGTATGTCTGTGCGCCACATGCGTGCAGTACCGCAGAGGTGAGGAGGGCCTGAGGGGCCCTGGGTGCTGAGAACCAAACCAGGGTCCTCTGCAAGAGCCCTGGCCTACATTTCATACCCATCTTCCTTGCTCTGTTTTCTGAGTCACGTTCAAGCAAGGCGTCAGGTGGCGGCCCGGGCTGTGGGGACCACCCAGTGACTGGAACTCTGGGGAGGGAGGCATTGAGCCTATCAGTCCTGAACACACTTGAGGGACAGTTTCCTGTCAAAGCTGCCCAGAAGAGTGTGTGGGTGTGTTTTTATTTTACTTTTTTCATTTTGAGACAGATTCTCAGAGGCTGGCCTTGAACTTGCTGTGGATGTGCCCGCCTCTGTCTCCAGGCTTTGCCCCTCTGAACCAGGTTTGCGTGGTGCTGGAGATGGAGCCCGGGGTTCCATGCATGCTGGCCCAGTGCTCTATCCACTGAGCCCCAGCCGCAGGGACTTGAATTAACTTTTTGTTTTAGTAGTTTAGACTCACCAGATGGTGTGGCGCACGCCTTTAATCCCAGCACTCGGGAGGCGGAGGCAGAAGGATCTCTGTGAGTTCGAGGCCAGCCTGGTCTACAGTGAGTTCCAGGACAGCCGGGGCTGCACAGAGAAGCTGTCTTGAAAACTAAAAAACAACAAAACAGTTTAGTCTCTGGAGTTGGCCCAGGGTTCCAGGTCCCTCTGTTAGTTCCTGGCTGTGACCTAGGCTAGGTGTGCCTGTGTCTTCATCTGTTTGTTTGAGACAGTTTCCTCGGTGTAGCCCTGGCTGTCCTGGAACTGGCTCTGTAGACCAGGCTGGCCATGAACTCAGAGACCCGCCGGCCCCCACCTCCTGAGTGCTGGGACTAGGTGTGCGTCACCACATCCGGGTTTGGTTTTGTTGCAAGCTACATTTTAAACCCATCTCTGAGGTTCTGGGAAAGGATTCCTCTCCTGCAGAGCTTTAGCCTGGGGAGCGGCAGGTGGCACCCATCCCCTCCTGATCCTCACATGATGGTGGCCCTGGGGCTGGATTCATCCCTTGCTCAGGAACTAGGCGTGGTACACACCTGTCATCCCAGCACAGTGGAGGCAGGAGGATCAGTTCACATCTTCCCTGGTGACCCAGTGACACTGGGGAATAGAGGCCAGCTTGTCATTCCAGTCATGGGAGTCCACAGAATTCTCTGCCACCCTGATACCGGCAAGAGGGGAAGGGGCCTTCCTTCCTGGTTGGGGCGGCGGCTTCCTGGTGAGGGGTCAGCCAGATGCCTGCAGCAAGCCACAGGCACAGATAAAATGCCTGAGCCTGAGGGCAGGGTGACTGGAGATGGTCACGGTCAGCACTTCAGGGGTGGCCCTGTTCTTGGTAAACAAGATGTCTTGGCCCTTGGCCAGGACCCAGACATCAAGGGAGTCTGGACTCAGTTCTTCTTCAAGAGAGGAACTAACACAGGCTGGCGGCGAGTGAACGTATTTGTTGACCTTGACGTATGTAAGACTTGGTTTCATTGTTTTTGTTTTTAGGCAGGGTCTCACTATGTGGTCCTGGCTGGCCTGGAACTCAGCAAGCCCTCCCCAGTGCTGGGATTAGAGCTGGCTCATGCACCCCCATACTCAGAAGCAGCCCGCCCACTTCAGTCAAACAGTACAGATCACAAAGAGGCCACCGTAGTGGGACGGCTGGGAATGTCGATTGTGCAGCGCTAGGTGTGAAACCCACGGCTTCCCAACGCTGGAGGGCCGCATACCGCCAAGCCACATCCCCACCAACCCACTGAATGACACAATGGGGTGCGTGTGCCTTAACTGTGTGACTTCACGGAGGAGGTGACCAGAGGGCTGTGAGGGCCTTCAATGTCACCGTCCTTTAGCTTTGGTTGCACGGCTGTGTGGTTCTCCCCACAATCCAGAAACTCCTATCTGCCCACACTGAAGCTGCCCCATCGGAGACACTAACTCCACCTGGTCCCTGTCTGTGTGCCTACCTTCCCGACTCAAGTCTACAGGATCTGATGGCCCAGGGGCCTCTGGGAGTGAGATTCCCACGCCCTTCCAGGTCGGGTAGGTTTTGGCAGGATGACTTTGGAAGCAAAGTGTGTCCCTCTAGAGCAGTGCTTCTCAGCCTTCCGGACGCTGCGACCCTTCAATACAGTTCCTCATGTTGTGATGACCCCCAACCATAAAATTTTCGTTGCTACATCGTTACTGTAATCCTGCTGCTGTTATAAATTGTAATGTAAATATCTGACATGTGACCCCTGTGAAAGAGGCATGACCCACAGGCTGAACCACTGCACTGGAGAGGAGATGTCCTCCTATGGACAGGAGGGGAACTCAGAAACCTCAGGCACGAACGGAAAACCCCCCACCTTCCGTGTCTGGGGCCCCACAGGACTGAAGGAGGGACCAGGAACCAGCTGTCAGCAGCATGTTCCATCTGTCCTGCAGATTGCCCCTGGTCATAGCACACGGGCCCAGCTGGACCAAGGCCCTCACTGACACACGGAAATGACCAAGATGTATGGGAACGGATGGAGGTGGGGCAGGAGAGATGGCCCAGAGGTTAAAAGCACTGGCGGTTCTTCCCGAGGACCCAGGTTCGGTTCCTAGCGCCCACATGGTGATCCCCAACCATCTGTAACTCCAATTCTGGGGAGAGGAGCCTCTGGTCTCTCCAGGCATCTGCATTCACGGTGGCACACACCTCTGGGAGGCAGAGGTAGGTAGATCTGAGTTCCAAGCCAGCCTGGTCTACATAGTGAGAAAGTGCCTTGGATATCACCTCCAGAACATACAGAGTCTAATCCCAGCCTCCTAAGGGCAAGATAGGCAGTGAAGACGGCTAGTCCTCTTGTGGGGGTGCACACCGTCACCCCAGCACACAGGCTAGCCCTCTTGTGGGGTGCACACCATCACCCCAGCACACAGGAGAAGGAAGTACTTTCAGTCTCAGGGCAGCCTGGGCTGCATACACAAGGAGACCTCGTCTCAAAACAAAACCACTCAATGTATTAACCAGACATTCCGCTCCGGGTATACGGCACACACAGCCGCTAACAGCCCCGTGTCCACGGGGGAGGCAGGCGCACAGCGTCGTCTGTAAACTGGAGTGAGGCTCCGACACTAGCCAGTGTGGCAGAACCCCGAGGACATTCTGCAGTCACGAGACTCAGACACAAAAGGCCACAGCGTGGACAATGGTAGGAAACGCAAAGAACAGAATTCAGGGTCAGGAAGGACCCTGGAGCTGGACTGATGGGCTGCCCTCTGCACTGCCGGAGGAGACTGAGGCAGGAGGAGCGGCCAGGGGCTGTACGGACCAACGGCTGAGGCAGGAGGCTCTTTCAGGCCAGCCCGAGCTGAGGAATGGGACTGTCACCCCAGCACTGAGGGGGGCAGGACAGCATGGACGTCAGGTTCACCACAGCTACTTAGTGAGCTGGAGCCCTGACTGCACGACGTCGAGAAAGGAAGGGCTGGGCATGGCCCAGGGCATGGCGCTTGTCTGGCACCCTTCCTTCCACAATCAGTCCATGCAGGCAGCAGACAGGATGCTCACCATTCACACAAGTGACTGGGGCCACAGGGGATACACGGCATCCACCCCAAGCCAAGGGTCCTCCAGGACCCATCTTGTACAACCTAGCCCAAATTGACCGGTTTTCCAAAACAATTTATCTCCTCAAAAACATCTTTAATTCTCAAAACAGAGTCCTACGAGAATGGAGAACTCTAAGCAGGATGGGGACCCCAGAGTGACAAAGGACTTGGGGTGTGGCCAGTGCTCTTGGGGTACACAGGGAGGCCGCCTGGTGGCAGTGCTGGCCTTGTCTAGGGCCACATCCCCGAGACACTGGGGGGGGGGGGGGACACGACGACGGGACGAGACCGACCTTTTGGTCAAAAGGCTAACAGGTTCTGGCCCATGCCCTGGGCCCATGGGAGCAGCAGACAAGGGTCAACTATTCATCAGGGTGCCAGGCAGGAGGGTGCTGGGGAGCTGGGACAGCAGATCAGCTGGCTCCTGGGGGTTCCAGAGCATGACCCATGCTGTGTGGGGGTTCCGGTTTATTGTTTTTCAGACGAGGGTCTCATACCAGAACACTGGCGCTGGACCAGTTCTTGCTAAAGAGTCCACACACTTGCCTTGAAGTTGCAGCAATCCTCCTGCCTCAGTCTCCAGAGTGCTAGGATTTAACCTGGCAACAGTACAGTTTGTTTGATTTTTGAAATAAGATCTCAGGATGTAGCCCAGGCTGTCCTGGAACTCACGAGATCCACCTGCCTCTGCCTCCTGAGTGCTGGGATTAAAGGCAGGCCTCCCACTGACTTTAATTTTTGTGGGTACACGTGCAGCGGCCACGGTGTGTGTGTGGAGGTCAGTCTCTCCTTCCACCAAGTGGTCCACTTGGGCGGCCAGGCTGGCCGGCCAGGTGTCTCACCCAACAGCCTCCTTTTCAGAATGGGGCGGTGTCCTGTGCTGGGACGCGGCAGGCAGTGTGCCGGCTGGGGAGGCGGCTCATCTGGGGATGCTGCTCAGCACGAGCTATGGCCAGGCTCACCTGCGCTGCCTACTGGACCAGGCGGTAGGTGATGTAGCGGCCAGCGGTCTCACTGGGTCGGATGATCTTCACGACCTGTGGGAGCAGAGAGGGGTTGGCAGGGCTTCGGGCACCGCAGCTAGGACCCACTGTCTCCTGGCCCTGGTGGCCCTGGCCTCAGAAGGAGGGGACAGAGGAACCAGGGTACTTTAGGAATCAAGAATTCCCGAGGGCCGAGGAGGGGAGCGATGGCCATGGCTTCTCACCTGTCCTCGCTTGATCCCAAAGTAGCGTGCTACTGGGTCCCCGGCCTGGATCCTGGGCAGCTGGCTCTCCCGAAGCTTGCTGGGATACAGTCAAGGAAGCTCGTGGGGCAGCACTGGATGACGTGTTCAAGTGGGGCGGGGAGGCGGGGTAAAGGATACTATCGGGCCAGCAGTTCCGTCACCTCCTCCTTGGTCATGACCACATGCTCAGGGACCAGCTGTGGAGAGAGACCCACCCACAGCCATGTAACCATCGGGGACCGCAACGGACCCCAACAGGCTGAAGGGTCCTGTCACAGGGGTGGGATGCTCGGGGCCACAGCACCGACATGGGGAAACGCCCTGGCCCGGCACATGAATGGCAGAGCCCGAGGCTGGGAGGGGCCTCCTGGTTTGGTCCACCCCACCGTGCTGCCCAGGCCTCCCCAGGACAGACGCGCACCTCGTGCTCCGTGATGTTGATGAGCAGCTCTTGCTGTAGGAACTGCTCCAGTACATACTTAGGGGCCATGTCCACCAGGGACTGCTTGGCGGAGGGCGTCATGCCCTGCTGCACCACGATCAGCGCCCGCGTGATGTTCTCCTCCTGCATGCGCTGGCAGTACACCTTGATGGTCTTGATGCCCACCTTGGGCTCCTCTGTGGACACAACACAACCCTCGTACCCAGTGCCGGAGGCCACCACTGCCCTGCCAGTCTCGGGTTTCCCTATTTGCCAGGGAATACCAGAACAACTAGAAGCCATGAATGAGGCTAGGCAGGAAGGAAGCTGCAGGGTACCCTGCCGCTGCAGGCCCCTCCTGGAGGGTGGAGGTCCGGCTGCTCTGAGGTTTAGGGGACATAGTTTTGTCAGCTTGGGTAGCCTTAAAGAGAAGAGACAGATCCTGTGTCCACATGGGGCTAGCCTCGGCTCCTCAGGCAGACTGGGGTTCACTGGAGCATCACGACCCAGGAGTGCAGAAGTGGGCCCACATAACCACACACACCTGGTTTGCAAACTGCTGGATCTCACAACTCTACACTCCCAATACATTTTTTTCTTTCTGAGA